GGTTGCTTGCAATAAAAACAGTTAGTGTTTGGAGTAACACTATTACTATTATAGCATTCTTTTGCTGAATGGCCTGACTTGCGACAAACTTGGCAAATAACTTCTGTATCACGGTTGATGCTTAAGTTTTTGCGACACTCTTTCGCTGAGTGGCCAGGTTTATCACAAATTTGACAAATAACCTGATTTATCATTCTTATTTGTGTTCGAGTTCGGCAGTCTGCAGCTATATGGCCGTTTCTATTGCATATTTGACATTTGAGATGTGTTCGACAATCACTAGCAACGTGACCTTTCCTATTGCAAATTTGACATGTTGTAATATTATTCCTTAACTTGGAGAAGCATGAATTTTCTTCATGACCGACCTTTTTGCAGAAATTACATCGTTTACTTTCTCTAATTATACTATTGCAATTTAGGGCATTGTGGCCTTCTTTATTGCAATTTTGACAGAGGGTTATTGATCTGAAACAACGAGAATTATTAGAGGCTCGTGCTCGCAATGTTGATTGTAATTCCAGGTCTTTTTCGACTTTTATGGCATTCTTTAGCGCATTCAGGATAGTGGTGTCACTAGGTAAATTTAGCCGAATTTCGGGCTTTAGTCCTCTTCTAAAGCATTCAAATATGTTTTGTTCAATTATCTGTTTTTGTGTAGGCGTTAAAGATTCTAGATTCTCTTCTTTCTTTTTGGCTTCAATAATTTTACTACTTAACAGTCGTAACCTATTTCCAAAAGTTAATACCTTTTCCTCGTTTCTTTGAAACTCATTGCCTAATTCACCTAATAATTGATTTAGTGTTTGGATAGGACCGAATATGTCAGCTAAATGATTTAATAATTCATCTACAGTGGAAAATGTTAGTCCTACTACTGTAGCACGTGCTTCTCCTTCTAATTTCGATCTTAAGCGTTTGGTTAAATTTTCTTCTATGTTTGGCGGTATTATACTTAATGCCTCTTTGCATCCTTCTACAAATTGGGTCCATTGGTTTGGTCTTCCATCAAATGTTGGTACTACACTTAATGCATCATTTAACGATACTACATGTCCTGGTAATGCTTTGGTTTCGGCGTATATTTCTGCTTCGCTATTGATTTTCGGCGGCATTTTGTTATAATTAATAAAAGGGATCGGTAAATCAATAATAGAGTCGTTTAAGGTATGTGAAGTGGACGCAGTTTCGACTTGGTGTAAAGATCTGTTTCGATTAAAATCTGGATCTAAAGCAGGACTGTCTTGAATATCATTTAAGTCAGGGAGTGATTCTGTTGATCGCTTTAGATTTCCGCCAACTTTACTAATTGTCCAGCTGACACTCGAGGTTCTCGACTGGCTGCGTGTAAGTCGCTTATCCTTGCTTTCGCTCATTAATAAATATACTTATATAGCTTATATACTTAAATATGCATTTATATATGTCAGACAAAGGGAGAAGAGAAAAAAAAAAATGAAATTTGTACTAGAAGGTATAAATTTATTTGGTGTTTTATTTTGCTAAATATTACAAGTACTTATATATTTTTACATAATTTTATGTTGACAAATTGTTAAGTAATTACAGCTTAATTAAGGAATTCTTATAATCTTTTATTAATCCGAAAAATTTGTCTATTCTAGATATCGGCTCACTAGCAGAGGATAAATTGGGAGAAGCCTTACAATTTACATTCTTTTTTGTTATAAGTGGTAAAGGCGGACTCAAAAGAGCTTTAGGGATAGAAGGAGGCTCTGAAGATTTCTTTTGTATCTTAATTTTTTTAATCGCGCGCAAGGATCTTTGTAAAACTTCGTAAACCTCCGGGTTTACTTTTGTACCATCCTTCAGTATTTTAAGTTTTTCGTCACTTTTTGCAATTTTAATAACGGCGTCTTTAATATTATGCTTTTTTTTTAATTTTTGATTTTCGCAAAACGGTATTTTGTATTCCCTCCTAAATGTTTGTTGACAACGAACACACTTTTCCGGGATAACAAAATGTCGACATAAACATCTTCGAAATTGGGCGACCTTTTCTTCTAATGTTGTAGGCGAGTTACTTGATGAAGGTGCAGATTGTTTGGGTGGACCCTGTACCTCGTCTTTTGGTGTTGACCAAATCTCTATCGGACGAGCTAACTCTATTTTATTCTGCTTAGATATCTCTTTTAATCCATTTTCATACTTGTCCTTTGGCAATCCTAACTCGTGTTTTCGAATCTCTCTCCCGAGAGCTCTTCGTTGTGTTTTAGTTAGCCGTTTTCTAGTTGTTCTATATCCTAGTTCCACTAGAACAATATCGAAACAAAGACACCAAACTTATATTAATACTATATTTCAATAATTAGAATGATTTTAAAAAAAGTCTGAACTTCATACTTTTACTAGAAATCTCAATCTAATTTATCGTAATAAAACCTTATCTATTTCTGTGTATAAACTAAGGATTATCGCGAATTATTTTACTTATAATTGTAAATTTTCAAATGACTTTGCTAATTTATCTACTTTATTTGCTAAAGCCCTTTTTGAAATCGTATTCCTATTAATTAATTTGTTATTAATTTTTACTTGCTTCCTAAGATTTTTAACTTGTTTCTTTAGGGCAGTATTTGTTTTTATTAAGTCTACACAAATATTTCCCAAACTAGCTATCTGTTCAATTCTATGCTTATTTTCTAATTCAAGTTTCGCGACACGTGCGCTAAGACTACGACCGTTATTATTTATTCTTGTGATATCGGAACTATCATTATTAACCCTATCAATTACGGATATTTGACTGTCCTTTAAATGTGTAATATCTTCGATTAATTCATCTACCGTGTCGACTACTTCGTTAGAAAAAGTATTAAAACTTACGAACGGTGGCATTACAACTAAAAGAAAGACCAAAAATCTTATTTATCTAAACAACGAAATTTTATTAAAACTTATTCGTTTGTAGAATTATGAAAACTGTATGTGAACGTTTTATTAAAATTTTATTTTTACAGATATATTGCGGCAATTCATTTCTTAGATATAAATTTTGATTCCTACAGAAAGATATTTATCTTTATTTTTACTTAAACTTTCTTAATTAAACCTTTCATTCTTTGATACTATTTGTTTTTAAAATTATTTATTTTACTTATAACAGGCAATTTTCTTATTTAAATTTTTCTAGTTTGCAAAATTATTTATTTCAAAATTTCTACTTTTATATTATTTTTCTCAGCAAGATTTCCTAAATTTCTTTTAAACACAATACTCTTTTATTTTTACTCCGAGTTTTATTTATTTATTTATTTTTAAGTTTTCTTCCGCAAGATTTCTAATTTCTCTAATTAATTTTTATTGCTAATGTATTTCTTTCCGACTCAGACAAGATTCGTAATATTATCTCAAAAAATTTTCCTGTATGTTATTTTCAATCTTTCTAAATTAACCTTTTTATTTTTAAATACAATTTTTAGAACAAAACATAAATTCAAAACCCTCTTTTTTCTATAATAAGCATTTATTCTTATTTCTCTCTTCAAGGCACAAAAGAAGACTTTTCTTTGGACGAATTTTCTATTCTGATTTATAATTTTACTTTCATAAAAAATGATTCTTCTCTGAAAATTTTTTCAAATTTCAAATATTTTTCAAACTCTTTTCTTAAACAACTTAATTTTCTTTATTTTTCTCTAACTCTTCTATTAATTTACTCATTCAAATTTCAATATTTTCTAAATTATTTCACTATTCTTTATTACAAAATAAATTCCCATTAATTTTCCCAAAATTTTCCTAAGTTCAATCCAAATAAACTCCAATTAATTTTCACTTTCAATTTAACCTATCTCCTTGTTTAACACAAAACTTATTTTCTATTTTCTCAATTAAATCAGTGATTTTCTGACTAATAAATTTGTATTCTTATTCAAAAAAAAAAATTTTATTACTTTATTTTATTCTTCACAGATTTCAAATTCAATAAAATACTTTAAGTAGTATCTATTCTTAATTTTCTTTTACTCTAACTGATCACTGATATAATTTAAGAAAGGAAAACCCTAACAGTTTTCTTTGCAACAATTTAATCCCTCCGGGGCCTCCAAAATTTTTATGTGACGTCGGGGTCACTCTCAGGTACGCTTGGAGCAAGCGTAAACTCAGGGTTGCTCTGATTTGGCTATCGTGTAACACACAAGCCGGGACGAGCAATATTGTTGCGTTGAGAAAACTGTATGCTAACGGGGAATGTAATAACCAAATGTTATTACGAACACACCAGACTCACGCTTAATGTGTTCTTAAGGGACTTTAATGGAAATTCACCAGACTCACGCTTAATGAATTTCCAAAAGAAAGGCGGATTACTTAAAGAAAGAAAAGGATAGCCAGGTTTAAGATTTTACTTACTTTTATTTTATCAATTTAGTTATTATTAATGTTGCGTTCTCTCTCTGCTCTTTGGCCTCTTTCTCTCTCTATATGTTCTGAATATAGTTGGGTGATTTGATGCTTGCTCCGGGACTCGCTCACTAGTAAAAACTTCTTATTACGGACTTCCTGGTGCTCACTCCGCACTTACTCTATCTGAACTTGACTTCCTCTAACTTAACTGACTGAACTGAACTTAACTTCACTTAACTTCCTCTCCAGCCTTGTACAGAGCTTTTTATAAGCCGTGGGTGGTTGGGTGGAAATCCCTTTCCTCAGGCCCATGAAGCGATAACGGCTAAATTTTGTATTGGTCGGAAATTTTCTAATCATATCCAGAATTTCTTTATTGGTCTGTGGGCGTGAATTTTCAGAGAGAGAAAGGGCGGTCCCTTTTTAACTTGGGCCCTTTTCTCCAGAGATGGCTCTCGGAGTGCCACTTTTAAGAGCAAGAGTAACGCTATAGCTCATAATTACTTATACATAATTGTACTAAACTTAATTAATTATGACGATACATAGTGACTATTATGAACATTCAGAAAAATTCAAACCTTTTACGATTTATTATAAAATACATTATTGTTCTATTTATTGGTTATTCGGTGACAAAAAGGTGCGCATTATAATGGCTTACAAAATTGATGAAAATCTATTTAATATTACGGATATTTTCTTAAAAATCGGTGGGAAAAAAAAAGATAGATTGCATTTTTATGGTCCCCTTCCATTATCGGCGTGATAACACTTCACGATGTATACGCGATGATCGTAGGCCCCTGTCAACACATACGTGTGGGACAAAGCAGGATAGAGCGTTGATTGTAAGCTTGAGTACGCAGGCTCGGGCCACTATCAAAGTTTATATTTCGAATGCGTTTTCATCGTGGGAAATCAGGAAGGTTCCCACTCCGTTCGTCATATTTAATAATTAAATATAAAAAAAACTAAGTTATGGCTAGCCGTCACAGTTGATAATCGATCAAGGGATGGATAACTTGTGAAAATTATTAATAACATTAAAATTCACTAATAATGTTAGGCGTAAAGTTTACAACTTTGTTAAAAGTTGTTCCGGCTATTCTTATTTTCAAGATATGTTTTTAATGATTTCCATGATCTTTAATCTAACGCTGATAGATATCCATAACTGTTACAATGTCAAGTTGAAATTAATGTGGACGTATTCCAAATATAAGTGGTTTACAACAAAATGTGTTGTGATTCAAATGACTAAGTTCAGTGACAATACAATACGCTGTTGACAAAACAGCTTTAACTATAATATATACTATCGTCACTTAAATACATGCATTATTTAAGTCACGAGAATAAGTCTGTGATCGTTATTAAAAACAATCGGTTGATCTTGGTGATCTTTGGTGAACTTTACTAAAGTTTACATTTCTTTTGGAAAAACTCATTTAAAAAAAATTGTTATTCGCAAGAAAACTCGTCGGCTCGGCGTTTCGTAACCATATTAATTATTGACAAAAATAGTTAAACGATTGTTGAAGCACAGATAGGACGTATAAAGACTCGCAGTAAACTAGAACAATTATATCTGGAATTTTTAGGTAATCGTAGACGGAATTAAGCAAAACAACGAAAGCAATAGTGTGCGATACCTTAAAAAAACTATATTTTTGGGCAATCATAATTAATTATTCATATTCTAGGTCATTAGTAGATACTTTCAAGATGCGTATAATTCTTTAGACTAATTTATTACTATATTGGCTTTCTACTCTTCATCATCCTTCTGTAAAGTGCTTACACATTCATTGAAAAATTCAGTTCCGCTTGGGCTTCATAAGGGAATATCAGCGTATAAACTATTGCCTGGTTTTTTCAACCTATTCGTCTTACTAGCGATAACAAAAATAACACGATGCGAATAGGCTTATCAGTACTTAGAACAGTCATTATATTATTGTGACTAATTGAGAAACTTTGCTGTAAAATTAGTCCTTCATTTTCGAGCTACTTAAAAATTCATCGAGCACAGGTTGGCAGTATGTTCAAAAATAACACGATATATCAGTATTCAATACCACAGATAAAGATAGGTATTTCAAAGAGAGAACATATAAATCATAATTAGATAGAATTCGGCATCTGGATAATGGACAATTTTATTTGCATGTTTTTATTTGCACTTACCGCAACGTCTTCATTTTTTACATTTCTTACAAATGAATGCAGCAATGGACGATAGATCTAATCTTATCTTAAAAGATCAGTCATATATCAGGACGGCATTAATCGCGACAAACAGGAAACTTTACTTTGAAAGTTTTATCTAAGAATTGATATTTCTGAGTTATATCTAAACATCTGATTCTACATAACTACGATTGTCATGATTTTTTTTACTCTTATGGCATCTGTGTATTTCCACAGACTATTTTGCGCTCTGCAGAATAGCAATTGATAAAATTTTATCCGCGAAATAGCATCGATAGGATCTTATCAATTAATGCGCTAAATAAGTAAGGAGACACGAGATAATAAAGATTTATCATTGGTTAATTAAATTCTGTTAACAGATAACATTTAGTTTGAGCAGCTGAACCCTCTTGCAAACATCCTCTTTTGTTGTTTTTCGTACTGCAGCATGGTACCCGCATCGAAAAAATTTGTTAGTACAAAGTAATATGTTTTCTTCGTACAAGTCTGCTTTACTCATATTTTCCATTATCTCTGTAGCTAGGAGATGGATTTGTCGTAGAAAATTGCATAATCAAAGGGCATGACAAGTATTACGATATAAAGGAAAATAATCTTGGAGAACTTATCTTTAATGCTTTATCAGAAACACCAGAACACATCGGACAAGTAAGTCAGCAAAATATACAATATTATCAAGTATATGGTTCATCTAATTTGTGGTATGAAATACTATCGTAGATTGTTGCTCTTACGAGCAAGAAAAAAACCTTTGCACAATTAAAGGAACAAAGTATTCGTTTGGCAACGTGGTTGAGAAAAGAAGCAATAGATTCTAAAGATGTTGTGGCGCTCTGCTCTCGAAGACATCCTCATACTGAAGTTATATTTTGTGCCATTTCCTTAATTGGTGCGATTTACACTCCATTCGTTCACAATGTAGATATAGGTAATTAAAATTTGCTTAAACAAACGCCTACCTTTAATGTTTATCAATCGACTTATTGTTTTCACTTTCAGTCACAGCCAGGCATTGCATAAAAACTGCGCAGCCAAAACTTGTATTCGCGCATAAAAATATAATTTGCACACTGCAGGAAGCTGCTGCATTAGAAAATCATACGTTGAAGATTGTCGTGATCGATAGCGATAAAGACAATGATTATATAACACTGAACACCATTGTCAGTACACCATCATCCGCGGAATCCGACGACTTTCAAATAACTACAGTGAAATCTGAAGATACCTGCGTAATAGTTCACACGTCTGGTACGACGGGAATACCAAAATTTATTCCCTTATCTCATAAACAATTCATCCAGCAAGCCTTACAATTTGACATAAGTGGCAACTCGGAAAAACAAAACAGAATCGTATTGACATATTTCTACCCTGGATGGTTAGTGCAAACCTTGTTCTCGATCAGATCTATTTTGGTCAGGCAAACCTTGATATTTCACGAGGATTTTGAACCTCATGAAACTTGCAAGATCATCGAAAAATACAAGGTATTGATAAACGAGCGACTATCAATGTGGGTTCATCATAATGACTGCAGCGATTGTATCGTTTTTCCCCCAGATAAATACTCTAGCTTGGGATGTGTACATGATAGCCCTATTAGCGGAATCTGATGTTATGGACAAATACGATCTGAACTCCGTGACCCGCATACATTCAATCGGATCGAAATTGTTCGACCAAGTCAGAGGAAAAATGATAAAAATGTTTCCAAACGTTCAGACTATTGGAAGAGGATTAGGTGGGTATTACCTTAGAACTGTCGAGTAGAGGATTGATAAGGCGTACTATTCCAATCGATCATTCTGATGAATAATTACTTTAGGCATATTAGAGACAGGGCTGTTAACACTATTCACCGAAAACTGTCGCAACCCCAAGTCCGAAGGTGTGGTTGTACCAAATGTCCAACTGAAAGTCATCGAAACGACAAGAGGTGAAGCTTTGGGTCCTAATAAAGTTGGAGAGCTGTGCGCCAAGTCGCCTTGCATGTTTACGGGTTACTATAAAGATCCACAAGCAACGAAAGCTGCCTTTGACGATGACGGTATCATGACGACGTACTCTTTGACATTTTTCAACGTTATCGTTTAATCGCGCGTAATATTGGGGTCGTAACTTGCAGGATGGTTCCACACAGGCGACGAAGCTTATTACGATGAAAATGGCGAGCTCATCGTGGTTGGGAGGCTAAAGGAAGTCATTAAGTATCGGGAAATGGAGCTGCAACCATTGCTTATAGAACAGATCTTTCTGTCACATCCGAATATCGTTGACGCAGCCGTCGTTGGCATTTTCCACGAGATTAATATCGAACAACCCGTAGCTTTCGTTAAAAGCACCAACGGTTCTAGCGTGAGTTGCGATTTATGTACGGGGCTCTTCCTTCTTTCATAGCTCAAATTAATGCTCGCTTTTCTCCTCGCTTAGTTGACTGAACAAGACGTGTTGGAGTTCACGAGCGACCTCCAATACACCGACATTTTCAGAGGTTGGGTGATATTTACCCACGAAATACCACGAAATGCTAATGGGAAAATCAATCGACGTGCTTTGAGGGAGCGTGCCCAAATATTTTATCAATCTCATTAGTGCATTTTATTATTTTATGTAGAATTTTCTGGAAATTATTCTGTTCAAACGTCCAAAAATATAATTCATTCGAACCTTTCAATAATTTTATGTTACAAATCATAATGCAATTATTTATCTAACAGATCACGATAACTTTAGTTTATATGAATAGATAACTTACAAATCATCATATACTTATTTATTAGGCCAGCTTTTTAATCATATGCCGTTTGAGTGATCAAAATATCTGATCGATTATCAACATTTTACAAGCCATAACCATTCGCCTTCCGCAATTTCATGTATAAACTCTGAAGTTTTATGCAAAACAAAGTCGGACTTAGGCCAAGGAATATAAGATCAGAGATTCATTATAAAGAGTAAAAATTTAGTTAAAGCTTTAGTACTATTTCGTCGAAATTTTCCGAGGATCAAAACTTGAGTATTACCGAATCAGGTGACTATCGGATAGATATATGCATCAGTTTTGCAAACAATGAAGGTGAACAATATATTGTAGACGTCAAATAACAGTATTTGAATGTAACTGATTCTCTGTGCATGATAAAACACCCTAAATGAAAATTCAATGAGAAAAAGAAAGTCAACAATCATTTAACAAGAATGCATTATACAAGTCAAACTTTGGTCTTGCTGTGACAAGAAACTTACTTAAAACTGAATTTCTTACATATATCATCACAATGATGAAATTGCATAAAAAATGTTATGTTCAAGAAGATTGATTCAAAAGAGTAAACGAGTGACCAAGGGACAAAAGTGCAATACGATGCTTATTTTTCATGAATTGCTGTCAGACCGCATCATCATTGACCTCATTTTCAATAGAATCGTTCTGCAATTGCAGCCATCTTTTTACTTTATCACTATAATGATGGCCATAAGCTTTTTAACCTAAATCCGTGCGTTTATATATGTATAAGCTTCTCAATTATGCTACTCTTATAATAATAAGATACTTGAATACTATGTCTTAATATATTTTTTACTTGAATAGATGTAGATTGTAACAGGCGACGAAATGAATAAATTAATTGAATGCATGTTTGTTTTTGCGAGCGAAGAGGTGAAACGGGATGAAGGTGGGATGGCGCGCGTTCTTGGCCCTTGATCTAACAATTTTTAGAGCTTCGTTTCGTCATCGCCCGATGACAACTACATGTGGCAACTCTGAGTTACCGATGTTTTTTTTTCGCCTCAAGTGCGTCAGAGTCGGGTACATGTGAACCCTGAGGAACTGTGTATCAGAGCAGAATTGACAAGTGCTACCACATAATAGGAATACTTACGTAAAATGTAGGGTTGCTGTGATCATCGAAATCTCACATTTTGCCTAAGTTTTTATGTTCACTTGCGTTTGCCTGGGTTAATTAACTCGTTAAATTCGATTTCTCTCTCTCGCGTTGTTCAAGAAATAGGTCAAATTTCGGCTCACTGTAAGACCTTATTTTTACGAAATATTAGCGCACCGACCACCGACAGAATGCTTTAGATCAAAATTTTTATGCAAAAACAATTAATATTTACTCTACTTGTAATAGCTTATATGTTATTTAAACTTAAGCTAGGTTTACGACTGAAATTGTCTGATTCATAAGAATGATAAATTTGCAAATAAATACTTCTGTCAGTGTCAACGAATTATATAGATATAAAAATATATACCCAATTCCTCAAGCTACTTCCAATATCGCGCGTATTTAAGAGTGATAATTAATGGCGATGCGCGCGCATGCGCAATAAGTCGTATCTGTTGTACACCCAACGTGGATTGAATCGCGACCCCCCCAGTTAGGTTGGTATGAGAATTCCGTCGTTTCATCGGAACGAAGAAACCGCGGGAAAATTCAAAAATGAAAATTCGTTTTAAGATACGATAAAAAGCTAAAACGTTACTAATTTGTTTTTAGGTTTAAAATTAATTGTTTGCCGAACAATGAATTTAGATGCATGATTATTTGATTTTAGGTTTTAATTATATAATTTAAGAACGAGCGTTATACTATGGCCGATCTGAAAACCACCGTTACGGACTGAAAGTAGCACTCATAGTCTCATACCAACCTAACTGGGGGCTCGCGATTCAATCCACGTTGGGTGTACAGTAGCACAAAATAATAATTTTAAATATTATATTGTAAAAAAAATACGGTTCTTTTGTAGGAAAAATAATGTTTTTCCTGCAAAATTTATATAGGCGCGATCGTTTAATGCGTCCAAATCGAAAAAAACTGTGTTAAATAGGAAACAAAATTAGTTAAAAATCATCCAGCAAATATTTTTTTTAATAATAAATGAAAATAAACTTGGCAACTAAGGGGTGCAGTATTTGCATAACAACGGATTCGTAACGAGCACATTACGCGGAATTTTTTAAGTACATTGCACTTTGTAATTCTTGATATAGCTTCGCTGGAAATAATCATGGAGATGAGTTTGGTTTTGTATTCACAAGAATCAGTCGATCGAGTTTGATCAATGTTTAAAGACGTCTGTAACCTTAACGTTTGTCGCAATTTGCGACTTTGAAAGCTTTATAATACTGCAGAAATTTCCAATAGAAAAATTTAATATTAATTTTGAATATAACGAAAATATTATGACGGAATAATCTTTGTTAATTATGATATAATTAGTCTTATAAATTTAGTAATAACAAAATGGTAAGAACAATTTTCATGTGATAAATAGGATAAATTTAATAAAAATTTATTTTATACTTTACAAATATTGTCTGAGACTATGTTCACATTACTGATATCTAGGAAATGGATCCAGAGTTTTTATCAAGGCTCATCCCTCAAAATAAAGATGCTCGTCCAGCATGTAAGAAATGTGGTTATGCTGGTCATCTGACTTATCAGTGCAGAAATTTTGTAAAAGTTGATCCTAATAAAGAAATAGTATTAGACGTAAGTAGTACAAGCTCAGATAGCGATGAAAACTATATAACGCCATTGACTGAGTTAAGAGAAAAAGAATTAAAGAAGAAGTTGAAAGAATCTAAGAATAAGAAAAAAGATAAAAAGAAGAAAAAGCGAAAAAAGATGCATCACAAAAAAGATTCTAATGGTGATTCTAATAGTGATAGTTTTTCATCTGACTCAGATTCAGATTCTGAAGATGATAAGAGAAAGCCTAAAAAGAGTAAAAAGAAGAGCAAGGACAAAAAACGTAAAAAACATAAGAGACAAGATGATAATGACTCAGATAGTGATCATCGATCTCACAAAAAGAGAAGATAGTAGCTCAAAGCTATTTTTAATGTATAAATCGAACAATTTTTATTAATGTATTCTATTTTTTAAATACATAACAATTCAACATTTATATTTCGTTATTTTCAGATTAATTTTTATTTTTGATTCTTATAATACATTAATATTCCAGTCAAAAGTTTGAAATAATTAAATAGAGCACTAATAAATTAAACAACTGTATTCTTACCCATCTTATTAAAATTTTATTAATATAAAGAATCTAAGAATATGAAATGTGCCAAATAACTATTTCATATTTATTATTATTCATTATGTATTTTTAGACATTTCTAAACAAGTCTTTTCCAAACAATTTAGAGCTGCTCTATGAATAACTGAATCTAATTTATATATTTTATGCTTTCCTTGAATTGGATATTTTATTGGCAGTTCAAAGTGTTTTTCACAGATGAATATATATGGACTGCTAACTTTATCTTCAGGATAAAACTTATTATATTCCTCTTGTGATAGAACATCTGTTACAGTAATACAACCAAGTAAACAACCCGTAGGATATGATTTAGGAAATTGAATTTCTTCTTTGCTTGTATGTCTGTACATATCTTCTACAAATTTTATTTCTTCTGTAGAAGGTTTCTTTGTACCTGACGCAATCCACAATCTGCCACGATGAGATGAGTACCATGTGCGACCTTCTGTCTTTTTTATTCCTCTTACTAAAAGTGATGCATATGGCTGATGCATACTCAAACATACTCCCTGATCACAAATTTCTAGAATTCCTTTATCTTGTACTCGATTAATATGTATATCATTATCTCTGTTTACATAGTTTGAAGACAAGGAATCATTATCCACGTATATAGGCCCTTTCGATAATTCAAAATTGCTGCTGTGAGCATTACATAAACTTTCAAAGTTTCTACAGTCATCAATTGAATTCATTTTATTATAGATTTCCAAAGGATTTTCTTCAGTAATAACTCTTCCTGTAAAATCAACTGATATTTTCTGATGCAAACGTGACTTATGCTTTTCCTGCTGAATATTTTGCTCTAACTTCTTCCATTGCTCGCGCTGTTGCTTGGTCAGCCAAAGGTTGTTGGCTTGATAGTAATCGCATTCATCATCAATAACACTTGTTCTACTGGCACAATTCTTGTCAAACTCAAGAAGTTTGTTTCTAAGTTTTAATGTTTCAGACTCCTCCTCCGGAATAACTATTTCATCATATGGGAATTTTTGCATTTTATCAGAATTCTTATTCAAGTTCGACAAAGGAGCTGTTGTATTATAATAATTAACAGAATGTCCACAAAAAAAACAGGGTCCAGGGCCTTCACTTAAGCATACTATTCTTCCGCAATTAATGCAATTGTTGATAAGTGGATGCTTTGTTGCCTCACAATCGCATAGGTTTCGAGCTTTTTCATCAGACAAGGTTGACTGGTTTTTGAAACTTTTCTTTCCACGTTGGTTATTACTTTTTCTTCTTCTCTCCATTGTAATACTTTTCTTATTGATTAACGTAATTACTTGTTTTTATGTATTCAAATAAACGTATCAATCAGCTGTTCTGATTCGAGGTTATATTTAAAAATGTTTGTATGTTATAATTCCAACAGTTCAAATCATGCTGTATAATTTAATTAAAATGAAATAAGCGATTACTTTAAACTATTAGTACAATTAAACGTAGCATGTAGTTTCAATTTTCATTACTAGCCAATAAATATATATCTATTTCACGGCAAATAAAACAATTGAGAAATATTTCGAAAAGTTTATTCGGCTGCTATGACAGTATGCGCACGTAAAATTTTTTTTGGGAAAAATTCGATTTTATGAAACAGGAAATTTAGGAAGAGTTGGAAAATGTGATTAATTAATAAATTTTTAATTTTTTTTATTATTTTGTTGTGCAATATGACATAACAAATTTTATAATGATACATAGTTATATCTACATCTAGTGAAATTTAAATACATCTGATACTTGCTCATGCCCATCGCTAATTAACATACACAAGAAATATACTTTGAATACAACCAAGAATAAAAAATGTATTCGTAAGGGAAATTATGCATGACATTTACGAATAAAAATTAAAGATGTTTGCTTAATTATTTTGAAACATTTTTTGATATACTGTATTTTTAATAAGTTTCATATATTATTGTTATTCTATTATTATAATTATGAGTTTAACTAGTATAAAAAAACTGACCGGCAGTAAGAAAGCTTTTGCACGTATCGTATCAAGTCTAATAAAAAGTAGTAAGTAAGCTTAGGAAAATGTCGCATATGTTGTAATTTTTTTATATAATGGCATAGCATAAAGGGTCGATATAGTTTAGTTGTTATTCTTTTGACTAGAGTATAAATTTACGGATCATCAGTATTTTGAATAATGGTTTATGACATAAAACGTACACTTTGAATCATCGTTGGCTAAGTTTGTCAATGACTTTTCTCTGCTCTAACAATGAATGCATCTTGAATTTTTCATTCATTACGCCTCAAATTTCCTGTTATTTATAAAATATATGAATACTCAATATCAAGTACATACCATATAACGATTAAAACATGTAATAAAATTTCAAATAAAACTTGTGACTAATATAACGAAATAGTGACAATAAATTTACGAACGATGAATATCACAAATAGAACAAATTAAGTGTACGTATTACTTGAAATTCTTAATAACTATTAGAAGCTATGCGAATCAAAGCTTGTTAAATATCCAGAGTATATTTATTTTAAATAGTATATAGTCCCAAATACAAACATTATAACTAAATATTAGAAAACAAAACAGATGAAATTATTCAAAGAATTAACTGTAAATAAAATAAACAAATAATTTAACAAATTCGCTGTTTGGTAGTTGAATAGTACGCAAGAAAAGTGTAATATTAAACTGACCGATAATAATCTCGTGCCGTTTGACGTGCAGTCAAACGATTTTTAAGTGAATTTTCTCACTTGTCCTACTGTAAATCTATATCTATTCCAAACCCTACCATTAAAATTCGCTCAATACATATATATTAAAAAAAAACCAATCATTTGTATGTGCATAGTTGATCGTCTGGAAATATCCTCGAGTATATGTGTTGATCTCATATCGATATAAAAATAAAAAATACAAAAAGAGTTTTTACGTAAAACGCTCGTACATTGGAGAAAGTCTCTTGAATAATCACGCTGAGGTAAGTAATCAATCTTTCTGCAAGGTCACTCGTAACAAAATACTAATGAAATTTGGCTTCGATTATTTGGTCGTGAATGGGATGAGTGAACAAAGCTTTGGTATCGCGGATAGAAAGGAAAAAAGAAAGAAGATTCTAACTACAGCTAACTCTTTCCCGCCTAAATCAGCCTTCGCACATAAAAATACAAATATTTTTTTTGGACGAGGTAGTATATTCGATTACCACAAGCGAGAATGATAAAACTTGAGATCGAGGTGGCCAGCACTGGTGTACGCACTGGTATCGGAACAAACCGAAGCATTGTCGTTCATCGTCATGTCTTCCAGTTTGTTTGCTATTTCAATTCTCTTCGATTCTTCGATCACTGCTATTTGTTCTTCTTCTTCTTCAACTGGTTTGTCTTTAATTGAATCGGTAGATTTTTCAGTTTCCAGGGGTGACACGTTGTTTGAACGATCTACTTCGTCAGGTGCTGTTTCCGGCTCCAGTTCTTCTGCTTCAGAGTGATTTTCTTTCGCATCTTCGAGGTTGGAAATGCTTAGGAAATCTGGGCGCTCTCGAGAATTTTCGTATGCCGAGGATTTGCGAGAACGTGATCTGTGAACAATTTTTTTGATTCTGATGCTGTGGAGCAAGGACGAACAGAAAAGCTCCTTTATTTTCGACAACGAAACACAGCAAACTATTTACATATTTACATTGAAACGAAACATGCGTAAGTACAATACAAACACGGACATTTTAGTGCTTAGTGCAGAAAAATATGATTAAAGGGTGTAAAATGAAAGAAACGAAACAAGTAATTAAGCATAAAATTTTAATGAACAATTATTGTAACAAAGTATACGATGCGGTGATAAATAAAATAAAATAAATATGTGGAATTATATATTTGTTTTTTCTTCTTTCAATGTCGGATAAAAAAATGAATTAACACGTTCACACACGCGTTAAAAATGTATCGAAAGTAAACAAAAAAAAAAATAAAAAATGATGAAGTAATTATTATTTGTGAGTACATTTTTGTATATACGTCATTTTAGTTTTATTTATAAAAATCAAAATTTTATTTCATATCGAACCGAAGTATATATGTTGAAATTTTAGTCTTTTTTTATCGAAAATATATTTTCAAAATTGAACGAATAACGTGTTTTCGGATTAATACTAAAATTAATAAAATGTTTAAGAATTAACAGCGAAACTTTCACTCAATTTGTGCCCATCACAAAGTTTTACTGGTGCTAGTAATATACATATAGGTTATACTTTATAAAATATTTACGTCGTCAAGTATACGGAACGGTCCGTCGTACCATTTTTAATAAAATTTATTTTTACATTAAAAGCTCACGATAGTTTGATGATATTTTGAAAGAACAATGCCAAATATCATATGTAAAGTCACTGTTTGTAAAACAACTTCTTAGCTGTACAAATATTAAGCTCATTTTTTAAAGTTAATTGGTCATTTTATAAAAATTTCTATAAAATTATAAACAATGAAAACATTATTTGACCTGGTTTTTCTTAAGAAAGTTAGACAATAATGAATTCTTTTTCAGATTACGACGAAGATTGATTTAAAAAAACGTTTTATCACTGTGCGTTTTTTATATTTCCTGGTACTGAATATTTATGATTTGTGTTTTGAAAGTTAACCAAATCTCATAGAAAATATCCAATATAAAAATCTACCGTCAGCAAATTCTTAAATAATTACAATCACGGATGGATCATAAATTACCACACCTAAAAATAAATAAAACAAACAAAATATATATAAAAATTTGTGAAAATATATAAAGAACAATTTTTACCGAATAAGTGCAATTTAATTAAAGAAATATCATAACATAAATTTAGCGTAACTATTGCAAATTAAAAGGCCAGTAAACACATAAAATGAAATTTACATATAATGATCATAGAAAAGGTAAAAATGCGATAAAAGCTCATTCAAAAATTTAAGATTAAAAATATTGTTAAGAGGCATACCTCGACCGTTCTGGTTGATCAGCTATAGCATTATGTATTATCTGGAACAAAAATGTTTTGCAAGTACGTTACGTGACAAAATTTTGAAAATTTATAGTTTTCCATAGTGCAAAGTTAAATATAAATAATAAAATAAAATATAATGATTATCCCCAAAAATCTTTGTAACTTTTCAATACTCAATTCAGTTTAAAACATTTTGCAAAAAAAAACGTTAGTTATTATAATGACTTACATTGCCCATGGAGCAAACTGGTCGTGGCGCGGCATATCTGCCAAAAGCACTGCGTGTTACTGGCGACCCGTTAATACTACAAAGAGTTAGCATCGTAAATTAATAATTCAAATGATGAGTTTAGGGATAATTGAGTTATAACTATTCGTTATTTTAAATAATTATAATACATGTTAAGATAACTTTCTTTGTGAGGTAGAAATAATGCAATTTATTTTTGATTTTTTTTCACTTTGGATTGTGATTAATAATAAAACTTATCTCGATTAGTATGAAAAATGAATGATTGAATTAAAAATCTTAAATTTTAAGTAAATGCATACTTATTGTGAATTGTAAGGACGAAGAAAAAAGGAATGTACGTGAAAAACACAGATATGTATGTACGTCGAGTGACATGTTAAATAAAATATTAATTTTTGTTAACGATGTTTTAAAAATGAAGTATTATTAGTGGAAATACAAATATTTAATTAGATTGCTACTTGAAAAGGGATCATTTACATGTTGAAAATTTATTGCTGGGGTTAAAATACAAAGGTAGTTTTTCAAAAAAAATTTATATGTCAAAATTAACACTGTGACTGGTGGTTTGAATCCCACTGTAAGCTGAAGGTCTATTAACTTGGAGGATTGACATCCTCTGGTTGTCTATAGAAAGTTTAGATTTATAGGTTTATACCAAGAACATACTATAGAAGCAAATAAATGACTACTCTGGAACACAGTAGTCCAATGCTTTTCGAGATTTCAAAGGCAGAGTACACAGAGTAAAAAGAGCAAATAAGAGTATTAAAAGGAGAAAATGCCTCCCATAATACTGTGGTGAGTGAGGTATGTAAAAATCCGAAAAGAGTATAGAGAGAACAGAAAACAACTACTACTATTACAAAGGTAGTTTTAATCTTAATGCCGAACATTAAGCAATGATAGTAATCTTGCATTATTACCTTTCAGTTTTTGTACTTTGAATATCAGGAGTTCTCATTGTTTGAATCCTTTCAGTGTATTGTCTATTTGGTGATAATGAGGTGTAAGGATTATTAATTTCTGATTCTTGAGCTTCTACAAAGCAAATTGATAAAAAATATTAAATTTATGTTTATGGATTTAGATGAAAAAGATCTGTTTGGATGAAAAAGACTGTTTGGTCAAGTTATTTACCATCACTAAAAAATCCTTTGAATACTACAAACTTATTATTTTGTGGTACTATAGATTTGAGTCCATAATGCTTATTAAGGAAAGCTAAGAATTTATCAGATGGTCTATCAATTGCTAGTTTTATAGGTTTTATATTTTCTTCCTAAATTTCATAAACATAAACAATTTAATACATGAAAGAAACTAATTAAAAGAAAAATAAAATATACAATTTACTTTAAGCATATACTCATAAAGCTCTTTTCCTAGACCCATACGTTGACGAGACTCATGGATATAAAAGTCCAGTATGCAACGAGGCTTAAGTTGATAGTATTCACCATTTTCATCAAACATGAATAATGACTTGGAACCAGTTTTCAAAAGACCCACTACACTTCCAAGACTTCTGTAATATGACACTGTCATTAAAAAATAATTTTCTACACTAATAATACAGAAAGCAAGTTATTAGAATAAGCATAATTGAAAAATACTAAGCTCCTCTTAAAACCACTATGCAAGTAGGTTAATTATAATCTTTTCCATACAACAATAATAAACAATAACAATATTTATCTGAATAATAAAAATAAAGTACTCACTTGTTACCGTCATTCTCAACCATTAAATAAAGAATGTGGTCTGTGTCACGAAGCTTTATAGCATTTGTTATAACTCTATTGAGGCTCTGAGCTTTTGCAGAAGCCTCACCCATGTCATCAATGATTCTAGTAAGTAACCTCTGACAGTCGCTGCAAATAATTACACAAAAGTGTGACATTCAAAATTTCATTCTGTCAGAGAATAAAAGGCATTGGTATTAAAATTCTTACTTAAATTCTCTACGGTCTGCTGCTCTAAAACCTTCTGGCAATAAGGTGTGTGTAATTTTGTTGATTCTTTTTGGTAAAATGTTGTTTACATTATAACGAAAATCCATTTTGTCACTTGTATAATCTCTCAAGTACATAAGTGTGGGATCGGTATCTATAAAAATGTAAAAAAATTACATAAAGTCTTAACGAACCCTTTTCACAGATTATAGCAAGAAGTAAGCTTAATTCTTGATTCAGCTATCAACCGAATCATTAAAAGAAACTTTCGGCAAAAATTAACCTCGACATAACCAACAAACCTTCATGACATGAGAGAAAAGCGCGACACCGGCGAAATAACGAAAATTTACATACTCAAATAAGTATAAGTGAACTTGCACAATTTAGACCAGCATCTCGTCAGGTATAAACTTTTACGGTTTTTTGTGCCGCATGCTTTCCTTGAGAACGCTGTCGCGAGCGCGCGCGCATGCGTTTCCCGCGGACGTGAAACTGTTAAACAATCTATTAGCCGCCCTCCAATAAAATCGAAATGTAACATATATCACCGACACGAGAGCGAAGAAACTAACTTACAACAAAAATCAAGTACAGAGAGAGAGAAAGAAAATCACCCACGCGAGAAATACGTATAGCATCCATGGAAAAGGAGAACTTACGAGTCGTATACGCTCGACTGACCATATAGTCCGTATCATCGATTTGTCGGGGAGAAAGGTAGGCATAATGTAAATGTACTTTACTTACTCTCTTGCGTTTCTTTCGTTTTTTCTTTTTCCCGCACAGGCTAATTAAGACACACCGTACGCTCGCGCCGAGAATAGGTAAAGTCCTAACTGTAATATCGACTACACATTATAACGTTTTCACTGAAGTAACAGCTGTAGCGGCACTCTATAACCCATATTCGAGCTGCACAGCACACCGTTGCACATTAGAAATCACAGGCGTCGTTGCAAATATTATTTGCTGGAAACTGAAAAAAAGTACATAGTCGGGTGCGTACGTCGGCTGCTGCTGCTTTCTCCTCAAGCTAACCACGCTCAGACTACGCTATTGCGAGCAGTGCGAGCGCACAAACAAAGCAAGCGTTACGTAGAGACTGTCCAGAAGACTGTAGATCGTAGAGTGAGCGAACTATGAAACGAGGGTGTGCGACGTTGCCAAATCTCTCGGCGCGCCAAGAACTCGACAAATAAATTTGAAATAACGATAGCAAATCGGTCCACTGCTCTCACTTCCTCTGTCTGTCTATTTCTCTCTCTCTCTCTCTTTCTCTCTTTATAGCTTTAGTGCGTGATTTCATCCAAGCTTTGCGTTACGTTACGCGGAAGCGTGGGTGGATTTCGATTGAAATACATTACGAGGATTGTCGATACGACCGTTGCTTCATTATAGCCTTTAGCTGATGTATAGTCGATGAAAAGGACCGTAATAATACAGTTGATGAATTTCAGGATAAAAATGTTATAGGAAGAGTTTGTGTTTGAATAAAGACACGGGATTATCTGTAACAATGCGACGGTTTAATATAGTGCGCGTATACGTATAGCGTATTCTAGCCAGAGGCAAATTTTGCGCGATTGAGCTAAAATAAAAGAAAAGAATTGACCAAGACTCGCGTCAATGTTTATTTAAAAACACACGTCAGTATTTACAGAATTAATAAAAAAGGAAGAGTGCCGACTATCTCCTAAATAAATCATATATAGGTGTCCTCGTCACGCTCGGGCTGCACGATTTCCATGTTCTCGTTCAAACTGACAAAATACGTGGTGACGTTGCCAATCGGTTTCACGTAAGGCTGTATATCACGAATGTCGCACTTGACGCCGCCGTCTTCCAACAGCGTCGCCGTGTGTTTGGTCACCTGAAAGGTATTACGCATAATTGGAATAACTGGCTGCGTATCGCACGCAAGAAGCGATGGCCGTGCTTAGCTCACCTGTATTTTACCAGGAACACCAGTCGTGTCCATCCTCGAAGCCATGTTGACGGCATCGCCCCAGATGTCGTAGAGTGGTTTGTGTGCACCGACCACGCCGGCTGTCACTTCGCCAAACGACACGCCTATCCTCAATCTAGAAAGAATCAAGTCGCTCGAGCAAACTTCCATTCGGACTTTCGGACTTGCAGCACGCTTTCGTCTCGACATTTTTACTCACTCGTAAGGTCTATTTGACTCGAGTTTCATCTTTCTCAGGACCTTCATGAGATCGATGGCAAATTCAACCATCACTCTGACTACGTTGTATTTGGTTTCGAGAGCGATCACGCCAAAGTTTTGCGTGGAGTGTCGTCTGGATATTTCAAGACCGCAAGCTGCCATGTAGGTAGTTCCTGAATGGTAAAACATTGGCAAGCTGCTGAATGAGAGCGCGTAGAAGTACGTAATGCCAAGTCAATCGAACCTGCGAGTTTGATCTTCTCCACTCGGCAGATGTAATTTGCCTCGAACAGCAATTTGTCGAATTGGCAAATGATCTCATTGAAGTCGCAAAGAATGTTACTCTCGTTGATCGACAGGTCTGTCAATGTGGCAAACATCACAGCTACATGGTCGTGGGATTCGTGATACAATGTATTCTCCTCGGTCCGGTCCATATTCAAGTAAAAGTCAGCTGAAAATGGCTGTCTTTAGTTGCTTTGCACGTCATTTAAAACATAGCGCAGATTCTCACCGACGTGTTCAGGAAGGATATTCCGCAGCAACAGTTTATTCGCGTTCCTCGTGTGAAAAGCTTCGTTCTGCTCTTTCGTCAACTGCCTCTTCCATTCGTAATCGAGCCGACTGAGGTACTCTGCCTGAAAAATTGCTTGGCAATTCATCGAGCAACGAGTTGGTTTGGGGAGGCAGCTCAAGGATCGCTTACCTGTCGGTCGATCAAATGTAGCGTCAGTACTAAATAGCCGACTGTCAACACGTGCGACAGCTGTGGCTGTATGCGAGGATTCCAAGTCTCGTTACTAGACTGAACAGGAATTGTAGGATTATCAGTAGTCCGAGATAGTTGAGAAGCAGCGAAAAACTGTGTCTCACCTCGAATATAAAGGATCTAAAATCGTAAACGCCCCACGAGTAAAAGGTAGCTATCGATATCGCAGCAAAGAGTTTCAGGATAAAATGCATTCTTAGGAACAAGAACGTCGTCATGATTGCCAACGCACACGTTTGTGTGATTTGCTGCAATGTACAAATGTTCGGTCGGCTGCTGATACGAGCAACTATTACGATTGTTTGTTTACCCATGGAGTGGCGACACAGCTTACACCATCGAGTCCAGACTCCGCCGCGATGGAAGTGATATTGTCTACTTTCTCATACTTGCATTCTAACTGTAATTGCAACAGAAACAGGATTGTTTTTCTTTCCGTTGTTCACGCGTGCAGTGGAAAAAAGTGCGTGCGATCTCACCAATAAATTAAAAACAGCGGTCATGGCTATCATCGCGGTAATAACAAAGTACACTCCTATCCTAAACAATTCATTCCATACTATCTACTCGAGCAGAAAGGGAAAGAGAAAGTAATTGCATGAAAAGATTGTGAAGCTCGCGAGGGAAAAAGTCTACCTTAACACTCATGCGATAAAAAAAGGCGAGTATCCTATTTTCCGGTTGCATTTGGTTGTGCATTCCATCGTCGTGGGATTCCTTGTAGCGACTCCAAAAAAATTGCGTCCACGTGACGGGTATCAGTAGGATGATGAACGCCAAGGCAATCACGTAGCTGGATATCGTCGCGGAAGCCACTGTCCAACAACTAGAACGACAGAAGCAATAGAAAAGTGGACGTGGCCGCGGCGAGGATCGCGGCGATTGGCTAGCTTGCACCGACTCACTCGCGCTCGCCTTTTTTTGTCAGTTGCTTCGATAAGTGGCATCTAACATGGCTATAAGACAGCTCACCTTTCGGATCTCGTGCTCATGGGAATGAAAATAATGAGCGCCGTGAAAAGTAGAACGAGGGCCGCGCTGGCGATGTAGAACTTGAACAGTGGATCTGGCTCTCTCAGGTACGGAATTTCCCAATTCAGTTGCGAGAAGGTTAGTAGCAGAGGATTGATGCTACCCCATTTCCGCCATTGCCTAGGTCAGAAAGCGCACAGCTCTGGTCAATGTTCCGCTCGTTCGCTCGCTCTCTGCTTCTTCGACCAGCCCAACTCACTCCCATTTACTGAGAGGCATCAGCTCGATGGCTTTTTCCATCTCGGCGTCGGCTTGCTTCAGCATCATGTGGTAGTCGCGCAGATACGAGTCCATGAAGTGGATTCTCCTGCGGTAGCTGCCTCTGAAACGCATCGCAAGCAGCCGAGTGTATTGTTGGGCTCTTTCCTCCTGTTGCCGGCTCGCTGCGAGTACCTTCTTAGGGAGTAGTGGTCGCTCGTGCTGCCTTCGTCGTCCGACGGCAGCCTCAGCTTCGACTCGTTCACCTGGCGAGACGCGGACGGCGACGATTCAGCCTTGGCGAAAACTGAAAACGCGGAAACTCACCGAAGACTTACCGAAGCGCAAGAGCCGAGCGTCTTGGGCGTGATCAGGTAGCTCCTCGTCACGCCATACTTCCACATCGCCTGGTCAACCTTCCTCACGGGCTTCACGTTGTAAACTTCCACATCGAGAAGGTCAAGCGTCTGCTGCGTCACGTGGACCTTGCCGGCCTCGCCGGTTTGCTCCATCTTGTTGGCAATGATCACGTCCCTCGACCACACGTCGTACTGCCATTTGTTCATACCTAATATTCCGGAGATGATGTTGCCCGAATGCACGCCGATGCGCATGTTGACGTCCACGCCGCACTCCTGCTGCACTCGGGCGCGCACCTCGTTGATTATGCGAATCATATCGAGACCTGCGGCAGAGGAGGTGTGTCTATCGGTGTGTCTATCGGTGTGTCTATCGGTGTATCGGCGACGGCTCGACTCGCTGCACTCTCTGATCATGGACGACCGGTCGCCGGTCGGCGCGCTTACCGAGCTCCACGCAGCTTTTCGCGTGCTCGGAGTTGGGTATGGGAACGCCGCTCACGCAGTAGTAGCAATCGCCGAGAAACTTGATTCTCAATACGTTGTGTCTCTCCGACGCCTCGTCGAATTTACCAAACAGATCGTTCAACGTTTTCACGAGCTTCTTCACTGGCAGGGTGACCGTCAGCCCCGAAAAGTTGACGATGTCCGCGTACAGAATACTCACATTCTCGTGCACCTCCACGTAGGTGTCTCTGTAAAATAAATCAAATCGGCAAATAAGGTGGATCGCGTCGACTACTCGCGACTGGTCCTGTTTACTTGGCTATCGTGTCGGACGATCTGCTGGCTTCCTCCTGACTGGGAAACTTTTTGTGCTCCTCGATGAATTTGCTTATGTCGCGAAAGTTCTTTTTGATCTTGGCTGCGAAGTGCGGCGGCAGAATGCTTCGCGTCAGTTGCTCCTGAAACACACAGAGCAACGGAGCGAATGTTATTCGGACAGGCGAGCTCTGGCGCCACTCAGAGCACTGTCGTCTCTTCACCTCTTGGTCTTTCTCGTAGTTCAGCCTGAGAGTCGATTCCACGCACTTCCTGCGGTCTAGAAACGAGCGCCTGATCATCACTTCGTTCATCAGCCGAAAATACAGACCTAAGCAATTGACACACGTGTGATACATGGCTTCCGTTGTCATCTGAAAACCTCACCGTTTGCGTATTTTAGTTCGCTTGAAAAATCATTCGTTCGATTTGTCGATGATCGGTCGTCGGTCGAACGGCTGCTTTCGCGAGACCCTTGCCGCTTTCGTCTTCAGGTCGGTCGCCGACACCGCCGACAATGCCGGCAATGCCGGCAATGCCGTCTAATCGCGCTCATTCGATATTGCCTCGGCGGGTCTCGCGAACGCGACTCGTCCCAGCGTCGAGCCATCGGACCAACAGACCAGCGACAATACCTTCACCGCGAAATCGGCCTCGTTTCTGTAGGTGATCAGTAGCAGCCCGGCGAGGTAGCAGAACGACGCGGTCACGCCGAGGACGAAGGCGTGCAGGTTGCTCGACAACGGCAGAATTATGTAGCACACGAGCAGCGTGTACGTCGCATAAGCTGGCCTAATGCACACACACACACACACACACACACAGATGCAGATATGCAGTGAACCGAGGCGCGAAGAAACTGTAGCCGCGGTTCAACGTACCTGAACGACAGTGCCTCGTTGTGCGTCAGAGCGTAGTAAACGACAACGCTCAGATCGTTGATCACAAGCAGTGCTACGATCAGGCAAGAGATGTAGATGTGTTGATGGCTTTTCTTGTTGATGCCCGTTTCCGAGTGGAACGACGTTGCTATTATCGGGAACAGAAATGCATTCGTCACTCCGCACGTTATTAAATCGACCACTATGTCCTCTATGGGCAACTGCAACAAAAGCAAAGAGTCCTCGATCTAACGTCATAATCCATGCAATGGCGCGCGACCAGTCGGCCGGGCCTTTCCCGTCGATACAAGCTATGCAAATGCGTCATTATGCGTCCGTAGGGTGCAAAGTCTTGTCGCATCTTATTCAATCCAACTTATCAAATATTTCTAACGTCGCGCTCTACGCATCGCAAAGAGCGACGTTGTCAAACGTCCTTGCGAATGACAACGAATACTTATCTTACCGACTCACATTCAAAATCAAAATAAGGCAGTGAACCACACCGAGTATCAGCTGTAGCACAGCGAAGAGTGACATGTAGCCGTTCTCGAGTTTTTTTCGATACATCATAAACAATCCTTCGAGACTCTTCAGTTTGAATTGATTCTGTAATCAAAGGAGAACGCCAGAGTACAACGATATCTTTTCCAACAAAACACGCACGGTTAGGTAGACTTTTCCGTACCCTTAGGTTACCCCAAGTCCAGTCATCCAGAAGACTGGGCGACACGATGAAATCATCGTCGACACCTTTTTGCAACGACGAGAGTGATCGCCTAGCCACCAGTTCAACATCCATCTTCATTCACCAACTTTCTCTTCAATCGAAGCTCACTATCAATTTCATTTTGCTTGCCACATAAAAGCAAACGCTACGTTTATTGTCATCGGTACCTAATTATTTCGACTCATCATAACAGCAGCACTGTTTGGCGTTCCTCAAAGACAAAAAACTCAAAGTCTAACAGAACTATATGCTGGTCATAATTTTATATCTAACGTGTGCAACAACACACAAGTATTGACCATCAGCCACCTCAGTGATTTTATCAGACTGCTGACAATTCTCTGCGAGCGAGCGTTGATAATAAGATAGTGATATCGTCCGAGCCACAAGCTAATAGATTAAAATTATCCATTATAAACAGTATTGATGTACTACGTCCTTATTCACGTACACGCGCGCGCATGCGCACACGCACGCACTCGCACGATAGGCCGATGACAAATTTTATTAGAACCTACTGCTTGTATACGATGGAATTTCGATCTTTTTTATTGAGTATGCGGCTTTTCTCGGAAAACTATCTACTTATCTACCGAAAACAATTTATTTAGCTTATGCTGTTTATTCTATTTTTATAAGTCGCATTCATCTTGTAACGTATTTTAGACTTACCAAGTCATTTGTACACACGCGTAAAATTATTTTAAATGTAATTCTTTTGTGTCACTTTGTGTTGTAAGTCGTTCCGTTATTGTAAACTTTTTGTGATTGTTAGACATGAAATATTATTTGACAACGTAATAGCGTTTTGATGCCCAAGTTTTAGTTTCATAAAATGAAATTACTGACGGCATTGGTATTTGAAAAATCGCGATTATCTGTTCTATATTAAAAAAATTCATTTAATCCTTCCACTCGTGAAACTCGTGAAATCTTGTAATTAATCCTACCATAATGAATTTTTTTAAGTGCTACAAAAATTTATTTTGCTGTCAATAACCAAAACAAATGTGCAATGAAAAATTCTGCAAAACAAGCAGGTAATCAGTAACATTCTTTGTTTTTTTTATTAAACTCTTATTACACGATGCATATAAACGTATGTAAATAATCATTATCCAGGTATAAAAAAGAATAGTTCAAAGCCTATGTATTTACAAAAATATCTGTTTAATCAATGCAGCGGACTCTTCAGACAATTGGCTGCAAAACGTGTTCCACTCGTCCGGAAAATCTTTCTGTACGGGTACCACAAATTCTCGTACGATAGATTTTACCTCTGCAACAAACGTCATAAAAAAATAATTTTCTCGAAGTTTTCCACGGTAAATCAAGGTATATTGGATTTTGGAAGATAACAAATGGAACTTTACCATTATCGGAAGCTTTATTCTCGAATATATCGAGAGCGACCTTGAGCAAAGTTGGTATGTGTGGTCTTAGAATTGCGTGTCCATTTCGATAGAGCACAAGGACGCATTTGTAGACTGTCTTGTTCTCCTCGAGATCTTCTTTTAAGGGTAAATGACTAATAAAAACGGGAAACACCTGCTCTATCGGTATTATCGTGTGGTTGGTTATTATCAGTCGAGCGATCGCCCCGATGATATTGTCACGAGCTTGTGCACTTCTCTCGTGGCTTATCAAACCCGACAGAGCTTGCAGTATTTGAGGATAATGTCTTTTGATTAACTTATTGTAAGGAAAATTGATATTCTGCCGTGTAAAACGATATATGCATACAACATGGTCATATACTTATTACCTTGTTATTCAAGGTTTCTTCGCCTAATCTTCGGTAATTTTTAAATATAGTACATTTATCTTTACGTAACTAAGTGAAATTCTCGATAACAGCGGTAGACATATTTAGACTTGATCGACCCCAATATGCGCGCGCGCGCACACACAGACACACGCGCGCGCGGGGATTCTACCACGATATAACAAACTGATAGAATAATTTAAAATTTCAAAATCTTAAGTTGTCCTGACTAAAGGATACGAATATATGTGTTCCTTTCCAAAGAAAGCCAGTTCGCCGAGCGCAAAGATGGCATTGCTACGAACTTCGGCACTGGAATCATTCGCTAATTTGATAAAGGCTGGGAAAAATTGATGAGCAAAAGCAGGTACTTGATTGCCCAACAATGGTAAGCATTCTGCTATAGTTCCAATGCTGTACGACCTTTGAGATTCTGAGTGATGTCTTTTCTAAAAAAAATGAAAAAAACAAAATGTAGAATACTATTCATCATCATATCATGAATATATTAAAATTTAACATAAATAATCTCTGCGTACTAGTCGTTTGAGGAACATTGGAAGAACATCTTTGAAGCACAAAGCAAAGTCGTCATTAGGGACAGATCTTCCATAATTGACGAGCACCTGGCCAGCGTACTCAAAAAGCAACTCATCGTGCTCAGCTTCGCCATCGTCATCATCCTCGCCATATTCTTGATCTTGACACTGGATTCGTCCTGCGAGTTTATCGATTGTAGTAATGTCGCTAAAACGAAAGCTATAAATAAAAATCCAAAATAACTTTACCTAACATTACATCTGTAATTATATTCTTCACCGCATCTTTGTGTCCATAGCCAACGATCGCATCAGTTTTGAGCTGTTCAAGCAGTTCAGAAAGAGCATCCAAAGACTGAATCACCACATCCCTTTCCTCATCGAGACGTATAAGCTCAGAAAATTTTGGTATTAGAACTGAAAGCGCCTTTTGCGTAGCCGCTTTGCCTTCTGGCGTTTCTATCTTTGAAAAATTTACGGTAAACTGCATCAATGCATCTATAGCGGCCTTTTTAATGTCTTCTTGAGGATAGTTAACAACTTTGAGGACTTCTTCGAACGAAGATTCTAAGTATGGCATAAATGCTTCTCTGTAATAAATTGAAAATCTTCGATTTAACTATTTCGAGATAAGAACGTCTGATAAATAATGATCTTTTAGTTAAATTACTTTGTATTCTCAGCAATTTCTCTCAGAGCTAAAATAGCCTCTTCTTTTTCTTCAACATAGGCGTTCTCAACGCTGTATCCAACGAAATCTTCATCATCGTCATCCTCGTTGTCGGTATCTTCAATATCTTCCTCATCTCTATCACTTTCCTGTTGGTTGCTTAGATATACCGTTGAATCGTCGTCTTTTACATGTGTCTTAAAAAATTATTAACAATTATTCATAATTCACTAAAATATTGTAAAGCTTTAAAGATTTCGTACCAAAATTCCTTCTGAGCTTTTTACGCTTGTGATCATGTACTCGATAATGACTGGCAAAACTATCGACATCTCATTCTTCATCACAACGCTGATTGATGCTAGTAAACCATAAATTGACTTTTTTAAATCGGGGTCTTCTGTTTCTTTTAATAGATTGATACCCAATTCGAGCGATTTCATCGCCAGAGGTGCAAAATTTTGTATACCGACAGTCCTTGCCAGTACTCCTAAAGTATCTACGAAAATAAAAACAATGTATTAAGAAAAAAATGTTGCAATAAATAAAATAAATGATAAAACATTGTCTTACCGACAGCTTGTATTTGCAAGCACGCCCTCTCCTGATTATCCTTTTCGACATTCAAGTAAGGCTGTATCAATGCGATAATTTTTTCAAAGTACGGCATCATGTGCTCCTTGCTAGCATTCGCTGCAGCTCCAATAGCACTGAGAGCAAGCTCGCTAATATGCACCGGACTATTAGCATCCTCGAGTATTTCAAAAAGTATACTCATAAGATTCGGTAAATAAGGCAAAAGTCCCTCATTCAAATTCTCAGCGAACATTTCGAGAGCATAAAACATACGATCGGTCGATGGTGATTCTTTGTTCTCCTGTCTAATCTGTGTGGTAGTTTGATTGAGGTATTGTAATAAAACTGGAAGTAATTCGTCAGCATAACGACTTATGTCCGGCTGCAAGTGTTCGGAAAATTGCCCGAGAGCGAAAAGAGCTGCATTACGGACTACAGGTTGACTATTGGTAATGCCACTACAGATGCAGCTTAAGAAGGTTTCAAGATACTTGGTACGAATGTATTCCGAACAGCCTTCGGCAAGTACTGCCATGGATAAGTATGAAGCTTTACAAGCGTAAATATTACTATCTTCTAGGCCGGGTTCGATGTGTTTTAACTGAAAAAAAAGATTGTAATGCTATTATTTGACTCGAGAACACGATCCAAGATCATGACATTTGCGAAATTACTACCAAATAAGGAACCAGTTTTTCAGGAGGCAGATGTAATGCCAACAGGTCCAATGTTTGGGTTGCACTTGTAATTGGTGTGTTGTCGTCTTCACCTGTGAAATAAACTTCTTGATTTTCATCATCTGGCTTTGAGCACATTAACATAAATAGTGTATCTAAAACAAATATTTTAATTTATATTACAAAAACTGTTAACTATGTATTCAAACAAAAACTTGAATGGAAAATATTTCTTACCGACAATAGGCTCGACCAATTTGTGTTTGACAATAGCTTTTTTTTTAACTTTGGTGAGCCAACCTAAAAATATCACGGATTTTGTTCTGAGTTCTTCTTCAAGTAATTCGTTGTTGGCAATTGTTACACACATTTCAACCAAATTTCTAACATGCGGTGAAATCACTGTGGCAGCACATTCACATAATTCATCCAACAACTCAAAACCTTTGATTGCTTTTGCTTGATTTATGGCGGTCAATGAATGTATTATTTGCATTACTCGCGGCATCATATGATGGTAAGCATTTACCAACTGTAAAAAATAATTGAATATTTTGTTATTACAGAAACAGAATTAAATTGTTCAGGATATTCAAAAATTTTCTGACATCTTGATTGCCTTCTACTAAGGGTACCAAATGGAGCATAACTTCTAAAACATAACATGATACTGGATTGGCCAAGTCTGTGAATTTGTTCAATGTTTCATGTAATAAGTTCATAATAGTATTCACATGGGGTAAGAAAACATTATATGCAATTTCTGTCATTGTTGATAAAGTGAACATTCCCAGCTAAAATTTGCAATGAACTTATATTATTTAATATTTATATAAATGCTATAAAGCTACTACTTTTCCACGTACCTCTTGACTTGCAATATTAGTATCAGTAACAAGTTGTTGTATGAACTGAAAAGCTTCTGGCCAGCTATTATGAGGTAATTCATGTTCTACAATAGTTCCAATAAGTTGTGCAATTGCATTTTTAACAGACTTTTCTGGTTCATGGACAAGAGCCTAAAACATTAGTTAAAAATATTAATACAAATTCAGCAATAGATTTAAATAATTTTAGTTATTACAAATTACCTGGAGTAAAAGAGACTTGAACTCTTGCTTCACAGGATCTGGTAAATGTGTCCAATAGCTTTTCTTGCGATAACGTTTCCTGAGCAATACTGCTGCATATTGTCTCACCTAAATTTATAAATATTTCATATTTTGTAAACAGTAACTTATTGCTAAGATTAATTATTTCTGATACCTCTTTCTCTTGAGATGAAACCAAAATTTGACAAAGTGCTCGAGTGCTTTCTGGATTTTTGAGGGCTTCATTAAGTTCTGTAGTTGCCTAAAAAAATTTAATATCTTCTAATCCCATGAAGAGGATACAATCATACCGTTAAAAGCTTGTAACATGGTAGTTTTTGTTTTTTTATTTTTATGCTCAATTCAATCACTGTCATTACGTAAAGCACTATTTTATTTAAATTGAGTGAATCATAATTTATAAAATAATATAAATAAAAACATCAATTATTATTCAATATAAAATCAATATAATACAATGTAATGAGTTAAACTGCGCTTTCCATTTGTTCTAGAATAATATTTTAGAATACTAATATTCGTTATATAGTAAAATAATCTATCTATGAAATAATAACATTGTTAATCTATACAATCAAAGCAATTTTATAAAAATAACAATGAAATTTTCTATATTTATTTTATCAGGACATGGTGATACATAAAAAATAAAACACAAAATGAAATATAAAAAATGTTCCATTTCGTATAAAATATTGCACGTGTATTGAAAAAAAATCATTGAAAACACATAATGACCGATAAGGCTCCAACTAACCTGCTGGATAATCTCAGTGTCAGTAGCGAGCAATTTCTTAATGATCTCCTCCATTTTGCGATTTATTCATATACGCAAAATAATCGTCGTGTTATGTCGTTGCCGTACAATATTTTATATAAAAAATACAGCACTAAGAAAACGGTAAAGAGAAAGATCGTAGTAAAACGGGAGCCGGCTCATCTGCAACAAGTAAGGTACGGACGGAAATCCGCCGCGCGGCGCGCCACTAAAATGTATATATATGATTATACTATGTATAGTGTCGATTGATTTACACGGATGACTCAAGTTATAAGAATTCCGCACGTGTGATTTCAAGAGATACGATCGATGCATATGCGGTTTGGCGTCACCAATAAATTTCGAAAAACGTGGAGCATATTAATTAAATACTTGTTGCAATTAGTTTGTTAATATAACAAGACATGACGATAGGAAAGAAAGATGAAAATAGAATTCAATGCTCAATCACACTTGCGATAATTTAATATATATTTATTAAGAAACAATTTACAAAAGATCATAGATATTATAAGTTCTATTTTGTTGGCATGTCAAAAACTACAATATAGACAACAAATATTAAAACCTTTGTAATATAAATAATTTATTGAATCATTATCAATAAATTGAAAAACGATTTACAAGAATTTATATTTTCAATATCATAGTGAATTTGTCTATTCTTTTACTTTTCTCACAGATTTATAATTCTTTTTTGTCTCAAATTTACAATTTTGTAAAATTAACTAATTTTATAAAATACTTTGCAATGTTTATAGGCTATTTTCTGTGCATAATCATTTATATCAATGAATATAGCGTCTATATTCATTATTTGTATTAATTTTTTGTGCTCGCATGACAAACATTCCTACCATGCACAATTATCACTGTACATTTACTTTCGCCGTTATATAGCGACGTTTCAAATGTTTTCTTCTATCATACTCTTGAGCTTTGTTATAGAGTAAAACTCCAGCAATCACCAAAAGAGTTCCTGATCCTGATAATGCAGTCACTGGATTATGAAATAACAGTACTGACAACCATATTAAAAAAGCTCTTTTGGCTGTGTTAACAACACTAAAAAAAATATTTAAAATATTGTTTTTAAATTAGTAAATGTTCAGAAATTTTGTAAATTGATTACACTGATTAAAAATTCCAATCACCTATGAGTCACTGGACTAATATAATCCATAAGTACATATGCAGTGATGCTTTGAAAATGGAAAAATATACCATTCAAAATGAAGGCAGTAAGTAAATGTAAGTCAAGAGAATGTTTCAGTGTTGGCAGATTTACTAATAACAATGAAGCTGGAATTTGTACTACTATTGATGCTAAACTTGTATAAAATTGAAGCTCTGCTGGTCTGTAAGTAAAATAAAAAAGACCTATAGCTTCTTAAACTTTTTCATAATTATGATATATTTTGCACTTACGTATACTTAAAACTATCATCACTAATTAACATTTTAGAATATACATTTTGTAAGCATTCAGTTAAATTAGTAGCCATTGCTGCAATAAATCCTCTCAGATCAAAACTAATTTCATTTATTGAACAGAGAGCTAAGCCACCCATAACTGGGATTAAAGATAAGTTAACGTATAGACCTGTATATTCACCTACAAAATACATGTAATAAATACATTGTTCAACTAGATATATTAACAAGATAGATATAAACAGATAAAATAATGATAATATATAGAAATTACCTAATAAATATCTACTAATAAAAACAGTAAACAATGGAGCACTGCTTTTAATAGTTTCAGTAAAACTCACTGCCACGTAATTTAATGAAACTAATCCTAAAACTACTGTCATGAACCTTGTGCATCCTACTAGCGTCATATGTTTATAGAATCCTGGAGGCCTTGTTAATCTTGGACTTGCTTGGTACATGCCACAGGGAAAGTACATCTGTATGAACCCACATATTGCTGTCATCAACATTTGACAAGCTCCTTAAAATAAAAATAGCAATCAATGAATTTTTAAATGAATTAGATGAGATAGTGAAATTCTACAAGAAACTTTAATTACCCAAGATTGTTGGATCACCTTCCATATAGGACAATATGTACTTGTTTAGAAAAAGAGTACAGCCACTAAATATATACCATAGTATTAAAAATAATAAAGCTCTGGGGTTAGCCAGGCCACCTTTAGAATTACTGGTTAATATAATTTCATCCCTTTTTTTGTTGACATTTTCCATATAAGGTTTTGATTGACTTAGCAAGCTAGCTGAGAGATCCTCACTCTCTAGCACAACTTGCATGTAATGAGCAGAATGATTTTCCATTGTAATATCTTTGACTAAATGATTGCATCAACAATCAGTAATTTGATTCATTATTTACAATATAAAAATCACTTTGCTATGCAGGTTATACTTTCGGGATTGATTATTATTAGCTTCTCCAAACATATTGAATAAAATTAACATGTGAGGATGTATGTAACGCAACTGTCTTTTCAAACTTAAACTTTTTCCTGGTAATCATTTAGAACTGCTCGAATTTTCTCTCAAAATTACCACGAATAATGTAATAAAAATTCTCTTTCAATATACGTCGACAAATTACGGTAACCATCACTTTTATTACAAGCTGTGCAACTGCAAACACATTATTGATAACCACACACGAGTTATTATCTTTATCAGATATACACGACAGTAATAATAACAATAAACTCGCAAAAAATGCGCTACAGTTTTGTGTCGTCCGCTTGCTGTGTTTGTTTCGTTTCCTGTTTTTTTAGTGCTTGAACACAGAACACTTAAGCTACCGTTTGCATTTGTTGAAAATTGAAATTCGTCAATACCGGAAGTTCGACCTACAACTCGAAAAATCACTTCCGCATATTTGATTTAGTTGAAAAAATCTTTAATTTCATAAAGCGCGGATAATATTTTCCTCCGATCTAGCTGTAATATAGTTTAAATTTTTGTTTCTACTGCTTGATCTTACAAGGTTCCTATTTTTGAGTAAATCAATCAAAATTTTATAAGATAATTATTTATAAATTTATCAAAAATTTTTTTAAATTTGTTTCCGACATTTTAATGTGCAGAAGCAAATCCAAATAAATAATAATTGTGATTACTATTGTTTACTAGATATATGTATGTACACCCAACGTGGATTGAATCGCGACCCCCTAGTTAGGTTGGTATGAGAATTCCGTCGTTGCATCGGAACGAAGAAACCGCGGGAAAATTCAAAAATGAAAATTCGTTTTAAGATACGATAAAAAGCTAAAACGTTACTAATTTGTTTTTAGGTTTAAAATTAATTGTTTGCCGAACAATGAATTTAGATGCATGATTATTTGATTTTAGGTTTTAATTATATAATTTAAGAACGAGCGTTATACTATGGCCGATCTGAAAACCACCGTTACCGACTGAAAGTAGCACTCTATACTAACCTAACTGGGGGGGGTCGCGATTCAATTCACGCGATACAATTTAAATTATATAATTAAAACCTAAAATCAAATAATCATGCATCTAAATTCATTGTTCGGCAAACAATTAATTTTAAACCTAAAAACAAATTAGTAACGTTTTAGCTTTTTATCGTATCTTAAAACGAATTTTCATTTTTGAATTTTCCCGCGGTTTCTTCGTTCCGATGCAACGACGGAATTCTCATACCAACCTAATTGGGTGTACCCATGATTACATAGCTGGGTAAAGCTGAGATGCCGATATTCTAATACGCATGCGTGAGCACTGAGCATACTTACAATAGCGCAAGCGCATGCAGGCAATTGCAAACGGAACCTTTTTAGCTGTAACCGGTCAGCCATCTTGAAGTGAAAATCTACACGGATAAACGCAAATACACACAACTGTGCGTAGGTCGTGTCCGAATAGGTGCTAGCTTTACGGATTAATTAGATTTTCACAGACGATTTTCTTAGCAAAAAATGTGTATATTCTCGTCGTGAATCCAAATAAACAGTAAATAAACAGCCATGACGCAATTTCTGCCAGCTAATTTGCTGGCGCTGTTTGCGCCTCGAGACCCAATACCATATTTGCCACCCGCTTGTAAACTACCTCACGAGAAGAAGACTGCAGGCTACATTGGGTTGGGCGCATTCTTACAACACTTCGAGGTAAATTCGTTTGTTTCGCTGTATTTACAGTTTATAGTACTTCAGTTATTTGTAGCAAATAATTTTAGTTAGTACATATATTAACTTTTAAATGTCGCTTTTCAGGATCCTAAAGATACACCACCTCCGGTGAGAGTAGAAACTAGAGAGGAAAGGCTAGAGAGGCGAAGAAGAGAACGCAATGAGCAAGTTGCATACAAATTGGAGCAGGAAATTGCTGTATGGGATCCAGCAGGAATTCCTAATGTTACTGCTGATCCATTCAAAACACTTTTTGTAGCTAGAATAGTAAGTATTGTTAATCAGATCATTGAATATTACTATCTTATAAGCAACAAAATAATTATTGATTCTTTATATAGAATTACGACACCTCAGAATCAAAACTAAGAAGAGAATTTGAAGTGTATGGTCCCATCAAAAAGGTAGGTAAAAATCTGCAAGGGCATTAATGTTTCTGTAGTTTTGTATATTCTATGTTCTGTTTTAAAATTTCAGATCGTTATGATCCACAATACAGTGAATGGAAAGCCACGAGGGTATGCCTTTATTGAGTATGAACATGAACGAGACATGCATTGTAAGTATCCATAGAATAGATAACAACCTATTTCAAAATTCATTCCGCGTCACTCGGGTATTAGCTAGTGGATGGTGTCAGAAGCTAGGCAACATTAGTTCAAAATTAATATACTTTTACGCAATGCTAAAAAAAAAGACATTAACCAGACAGTACCATGCTCCTGATTCTCCAGGACTCGTTGTTCAATGAGTTCAAGTAACGGTAACAAATCCAACGAGCATAAAATTTGGCTATTCCTAATTAACATAGTTTTTATCTTGTTCTTGGTACAGCGTGGTGGCCGCTGCCGGTAACTAGTGTTGTTCTCTATTCCATGCAAATTCCCTGAACCTGCCTGTTATTATAGGTTTGTATGTGTGGTAAGATCCAGCATACAACAAACTTTATTTAAAATTAAGTTAGACTTTTTTTTATTTGTTTCTCTGTAATTACTAAAATTCAAGTTTCCTCCAAAAATTTTTAACCAAAGTTTGGATTAGCATTTCAATAAATTGTATTTTTGATGCAATTAACAGATTCCAGATCAGTTGATGTAAAATCTTTTGCATTCTACATTTTTTTGTTACTGTTATGAAAGTTCTGATAACTTTTATCAATACAATTTTGTGTAGAATTACTAGGTTTTATTATCAAGAAAAGGTTCAGGGACTAAACTGCTATGGTGTTCAAAGCGTAAGATGAGGAATACATTTGGTTTGTACAGTCTGGTTGCCAAGGGTACTGAAATATTCAATTATTTACTATCAAATTCAAATGGATTTATTTGTTTTCTCAATGTTTATCTTGGTTATTTTCTCTTCAATATAGCTTGAACAAATTGACTTGACAAAATGGTAATGGTCTCATTTTTATTACTGATTGAACAATTATTATTGTTAATTTTGAAACAAATTTGGGAAGTATTATTATTACACTTAACATGAAAGTAGTGCATATAAATAAAATTGCTGTACTTTGTGGATGATTAATTGGCCTAGATCACTTACATTTGAATAGAATTTCTATAGTAAACACACTTGTTTCTTTCTATAATCATTCACAAATGTATGAAGCTGATGCGGGTGATAAGAAAATGAGTATTGCGCACAATAAAAAAATCGTAAGTAAAAAAAGAAAACGCGCACCAGGTAAATTAATGAAAAATGGTCTTTGGAGAGGTACGAAAGAAAACGAAGACTGGACACGTCTTTTCATCGAATAATTCTGTCCTCGCGACTATAGTCAAGTATACCACTTACAAGTATACAATTTTATGATTCTAAAAAAAGAGTAAGATTTGTGTTAAAACGTTCCGTACGTAAGTAGTCGCGGTAGGTATTTTTGTATTTCCTATACATTTTTTTCTTGAAAATACCACAAAAACCTAGTATTTAAGGTCATTAAGTTGATTCGTGCGATTAGTAACGATATCTGCCCGGATCGGCGCGGATGCGTAATGTTTTCGACGTAAAGTGATCCGAGTTGATCGAGCAGTTCTCAAGCTGAAACAAAAAATGTCGATAATGTTGAGCCGAATTGCTCGAACCAATGAACTGGCATTTTACCGCGAAAAGTGTGTAAATCGATGTGTGTACGCGTCGACGTGCCGTTGCAAAAAAGTGCAGTCGAGTTGGCGAACCGCTTACAAACCTATTGATAATTTTAATGGCGTCAAGAACACAGAAGTCACTAGGTAAGACGACATTGAATAGTAAAATAATCCTGACCATCGTGTGGATTCGCAAACGAAAACAAAATAAGTGGCTGTCAAGTGGTTTGTCGCTCGAGAAAACAATGTAGGATTATACCCCTCAAGCATAGGTAAATCCGTGACAAAACAAACGCAAACTCTTAATGTCGAACTCAAAATCGTTTGGAGTGTAAGTCAACCAAAGAACGAAAACAAAGCAAAAGCAAAACTCGTGCTGAACGATTGCAAAGAGCAACAGAGAAACGATGAGGCGCACGATACAACCGATTACAAATTTAAATCAACAAACGCGGCTGCTTATGCCGATTAAAACAGTGGAGCATTGGTTAATGGTTTTAGCCGCTTATAAGCACGCCGACGGTAAGAAAATAGACGGTCGCCGAGTGTTGGTGGACGTGGAGCGCGCCCGCACGGTCAAGGGCTGGCTGCCAAGGAGACTCGGCGGTGGACTCGGAGGCACACGCAGAGGCGGTCCCGATGTCAATATCAAGCATTCCGGCCGCGAGGACAACGAGAGAGAGCGCGAGCGCTACAGGCTGGAGCGCGAGCGGGAGGCTGTTCGCGACAGGGACAGGTACAGTATGCAACCCTCCGCGTCGACCCGCCCTGGCTCACGTCTTCCCGTCTGCTTTACACACAGGGACAGAGATCGCGCGGACCGCGACAGGCGTCGCAGCCGCGAGCGCGAGCGTCCCAAACGCCGCTCGCGCAGCCGCTCCCGCGAGCGCAACAACGAGCGCAACAACGAGCGCAACAAGCGTCGCCGTAGCCGCGAGCGAGTCGAGCCGGAGGTCGAGGAACTGGAGCGCCCACCGCGCGATCGTCGCGAACGTGAGCGCGATCGTGGCGCTGAGCGCGATCGCAAGAGGCGGCGTTCACGAAGCAATGACCGTGAACGCGAGCGCAGTCGTCGTGATAAACGCGAGCGCGACAGGGATCGTGCTGATCGTACGGATAGGCGTGATCGCAAGGACAGACCCGACAGGATTGATAGGAACGACGAGGACGTTAAGGACATCAGGATCAAGGAGGAACCTATTGATGGTGAGTTTTTCCAATAACCTTTTTCCAACCTTCTTGCATTTCACTGTCCGTTGTGCATCAGTCAACGCTTTTTTCTATTCCGATTCATTTTCCACTGATTTGCTCATTCCATTGTCCAGTCAACCACTTTTATTTGCCAATTGTCATTTATTGCCAATATTATTGTCACTTTTTCAGATTATCCTGAATACAATCAGGAAATGTACTTTGCTCAAGTTAAGTATGAGCAAGATCCTGATGAGCCCGAAGAAAAATATCGAATTCCGGAAAATCAAAATGACCGACCGTATAACTACAACTCCGTACCGGACTATTGAACAATTTTTTCTGGCTTAAAACAAAACTTGTTCCGAATCATGAAAGAAGCGTTCTTCGTCAGGTTGGATTTCGTGACATTTGAACCATTATTTATTGACTAGTGCTTTTTAATACATATGTCAAAATATTAAAAACTTCAACTTTGAATCCTATTTTTGAACTGTAAAATAATTATTTCATTGATTAATTGTTTTAATCAGACTGTATTTCAAGCAACGTTTACTGTATGAATTTATACTGATATCCAATCTGTAAATATATAATTTTAAGTGAACGTTGTAACTACTGATTGTATATTATTCATTTATAGAAATAAAAAAATTGTCTAATTCTTACATTTCTATATTTTTTAAAAATCGTTTAATAACTATTGAGTTGTGTACAATATTGGGTTATATGAAAAGAAAATAGTCTACTTTCTTAGGCCACGGTTGAATCCTCAAAAAGCTTAAATTGATATTTCACGATTTAATGTTAGTATTCAAAATAAATTTTTTTTTTTTGACTGATATAATGATATCTTGATATAATGACTGCGCAGTTTCTTAACAAGAAGCATAGATTGACATCACATGGACATTGAACAGCTTCAAGCTTATCAAATTTAGAGAGTAAAAAGTACTTCCGACATGTGTAATACGCTTTTCCTGCTCTCACCTGACGGATTGAGCAGTAAAACAACGCATCGCGTGTACACAAGGTACTTTACTTTTAGACAATCAATGTAGCGCTGTTGCCTGCACAGGAGTCAACGTTTCACCCGCAGCATCACCTTATTTAAGGGGTGCACGTTCGATGAGTATATTGCAACACGGGAGTACAAGTATATCCAAATATGTGCACTATGTGAAATGCCGACCTCGCCTTGGTTGGCAAAATCACGTACGTATGTACGTTAAAGAGCTGATATTTTTATTTTTACTCCATTTATGAACATATCGAATCAATATATCACCATAAATAAATTGTTCCTGAAATTGAAAAATAGTTATAGCTGTTCTATTCTGAAGTCTGTCTAGTGCCACACTTGTAGTTTCAATTATATCCATTAATTTTTAATGCACACAGACTGATTTGAACTTTAAAAATTACAGATGAAAAACAGAGGTTTTATTAAAAAAATGCATGAGATTAATGTTTTGGAATTTTGTACATGCCATTAAAAAAATTATTTTTTACTCTAGATTATTGAAAAGTCAAAGAATCATAAAATAAACTGATTGTTTACTGGAAATTTGGGTACTTACAAAGCCATTTCAATTGCAAGGGTTACAAAAACTAAGACTATATTTATTATTTTATTACAACTAATTAAAAGCTGTAAATTTTGCTTATACATCATTTAACAAAATACTGAAATTTATTAAGATTTAAAAATATAACAATGACTATTTTTTAATATATATAGTATATTGTTCTTTCTTTCATTAATTATACAAATGTGGTAAGTTTAAATGGAAAATATATAAATATTAGCTATTACAAAATAGTTGATTCTGCAGATAAGAAATTCTAATTGTTGTGTACAATTAGCTTTTGTGCTTGTTAAACTTCTATCTTAGAAATTAATGAGAATAGATAAAAATTATTTACCTAACTTAATCTAGTTGAAAAATATACACAATGTTTTTTGAAATTTAAAGAACTATCAATTTTCTAGAGCTTTAGCTACTTAAATACAATTATTGATGATTAATTAATAATTGCACATTCCATGGCACCAAAGCATATAAAAAACTATAAATTGTATAAAGTGAAAGTCAATTTATAAAGAAATTATTGACCAATTAAAGAGCAAGGCTTTTCATATTTGACTCTGGTCAGTGCTACATATGAACGGGATGTTGCCAAGTCCTGCCATCCCACTGGTCCTTTTTCACAATCGGCACAGGCCAAGTATCTGATATTTCCCACTTTGTATGAGGCACCAATATTTTCAAAATTATGAATCTCATCAACTAACCAGTAATTGCTAATTTCTTCTTTTTCATTTATGTTCTCATTAACTTTACATACAATATGTGGTAGAGAAAACTAAAGTAAATGTAAAACATATTTTTAAATATTTATAAATATTAGTAGATGTAAAAAATATTTGTACTCAGCAATTATATGTATTAATAAACAAATTAATTTACTTACATCAATATTTATAAACGTAGCGACTCCTTTATTTAACATCTTTGATGGACAAAATGTACAAAAAATTGTCTCTGCATTTTTTCCTTGTGAGTCAGTTTTAGCAACAGAATTATCATTGTCTACCATTGTTGAATTAGTAAAATAAAACTTTTTACGTTTTAAAAACTGTAAAAACAATGGGAATATTATTTCCAATTACACACGCACACACACACACACACACATACATATTAGATATATAAAGTTGTTAACCTAACTTTTTACGGCATAAATATCAACAGATAACAATCGTGTCAATGACTACATGTGATTTATGCAATTAATGATGTCTACATGGGGGGTTTTACAGAACGATTCTGACACTTCCAAATACTGACATGATTTATGACACATGACTAGTCATTAGACTACTGCGCAGCCATCCCTGCGCAGGTTAGTTCTATAGGGATATGAAAAATACGTAAATTAATTATTAAATGTAAATCTGAAATGAGTAAAGTACTATTCATTTTATATCAAGATTATTGAATTTTGAATCTATATATTTTAATTAATTAACATGTTTCTCATTTTTGTTTTCAAAATACATGCTTTTCATAAATTTCTATAGAACTAGAGTCTACGCATTGATGACTAGAGCCCCGGTCACATAGGTACACCCAACGTGGATTGAATCGCGACCCCCCAGTTAGGTTGGTATGAGAATTCCGTCGTTGCATTGAACGAAGAAACCGCGGGAAAATTCAAAAATGAAAATTCGTTTTAAGATACGATAAAAAGCTAAAACGTTACTAATTTGTTTTTAGGTTTAAAATTAATTGTTTGCCGAACAATGAATTTAGATGCATGATTATTTGATTTTAGGTTTTAATTATATAATTTATGAACGAGCGTTATACTATGGCCGATCAGAAAACCACCGTTACAGACTTAAAGTAGCAGTCAAAATCAAAGCTCGAATAGCAGACCTGAAAAAGTCTGTTTATACGTGTCTATTTTAAATGTTTCTTCCGAGTTTCTTGTGCTTTTACCTGCTTTTGCTTCAGCAAAGATTTATCGTTATGCTGGCATTTAGATAAGTTATTATTTATTTATTTATTTACTATCTACAATAGAAAATAAAAACATGTTACTTTGTGAATGTTCTTTTTTTTTGCAGGAGTTTTTATTTCAGCAGGATCTGAAAACCACCGTTACCGACTAAAAGTAGCACTCTACTAACCTAACTTGGGGGGTTGCGAGTCAATTCACGCGATACAATTTAAATTATATAATTAAAACCTAAAATCAAATAATCATGCATCTAAATTCATTGTTCGGCAAACAATTAATTTTAAACCTAAAAACAAATTAGTAACGTTTTAGCTTTTTATCGTATCTTAAAACGAATTTTCATTTTTGAATATTCCCGCGGTTTCTTCGTTCCGATGCAACGACGGAATTTTCATACCAACCTAACTGGGGGGGTCGCGATTCAATCCACGTTGGGTGTACATACATACATACATACATACGGATGCGGACGGATACGGACGCGAATCGCAACTCTAGTAACATTACTAAAAATATCTAGTTCGGTTATTTAGTACCAACACTACCGGTAGTGAGCAAAAGTGACTATTGTTGGTACTATCAAAATTTTTAGCGATTTGTACGCGTTTGTACGCCCTCGAACGCGCGCATATGCGGATATGTGGCGAGGGCCTTACTTGCACATTAGGCCCCGGTCCCATAGATACGTACGGATGCGGACGGATACGGACGCGAATCGCAACTCTAGTAACATCACTAAAAATATCTAGTTCGATTATTTAGTACCAACACTACCGGTAGTGAGCAAAAGTAACTGTTGTTTAAAACTGTAGCGCCGAACGTACCACATTTAATGGACGCTTATCTAACCTTTACATTATTGCAGTCTATAAGATGGCAAGTGATAGAGAATTGATAGACTTTCAACTACAATTAGTGGAATTAGGCCTTAATTTTATGGAAGTACTTGAATATATGAGAAGAAGAAAATATATATAAATGATATGTATTAACCATCCCAAAAGCTTTTTTTACATTAGCATACTCATCAATAAGCAATATTCATGAGAATTTGAAAAGTAAATTGTAGACCTGACATTTGAACATTAAATGTGGTACGTTCGGCGCTACAGTTTTAAACAACAGTTACTTTTGCTCACTACCGGTAGTGTTGGTACTAAATAATCGAACTAGATATTTTTAGTGATGTTACTGGAGTTGCGATTCGCGTCCGTATCCGTCCGCATTCATACGTAGCTATGGGACCGAGGTCTTACCTAATATAACACTCTAAAATTAATAAAATGACTACTTATTGTATTACAAAGCAGTTTTATTATCAACGCCAGTGTTAAATAGTCATTGTATTGATTTTAGTGTTATGTTATAGTTAATGTGTAATTAAAGCGTTATGTTTTGATTATTCGAAGTAAATTTATCATAGTGACTTTTCTATATAAGGTGGCATTATAAAATATAACTAAACACTTTTAGTGATTTTTACGCGGTCGTAAGCATCTGAACCTGAACGCGAAAATGATTGAAACGACCCTGGCAGAAAAATGATTGATTTAAAAAAAAAATTATATACCATTACCTTTGTCTTAATTTGTACCACCCGAAAATTCATTTTTTGGAATTTGTACCCCCCCAAAATTTTGAAAAAAAGCGAAAAAAACGATATTGCGGAAAACTCATACTCCTGGCAGAAAAATGATTGATATCATAAAAGAAAAAAATACCACTAGTTTCATTTTAATTTGTACCATCAGAAAAATGCTTTTTTAGAATTTGTACCCTCTCTAAAAATAGAGAAAAAAAAGATTTTCGTAGGGTAGATTAGCAATTCAAATTAACGTATTACTGCGCATGCGCGGCGGAAAATCTATCTTCCAGCAGAAAAATATGCGATTTAAAAAAAAAATATATATGAATGCCTTCTTCTTAATTTGTACCATCTAAAAAATACATAAAACTAATTTGTATCCTTGTAGAATTTGAATAATACAATGTTTTTTGTGCGACTGTAATACTGATAAATTTTACAGGAAAATCTTTTATTTCTTAAGAAAAAAATATATTTCTAGCTTTACCTTAAATTTTACCCACTGAAAATAGTTTTATTGTAATTTTTACACTCTAAAATTTAATTAGACATGTTAATATACAAAGTCCTAAGTTAATGTGTGTTCTTAAACTCCTACATCCAAAAACAGCTGATTACTCGGATGATAAAGTAGGAAACTCTGATAGGAAAAATATTTATTTCCGACAACAAAATACACCACCAGCCTTGCCTCAATCAGTACCATTTAAAAAAATAGTTATTTTGGTATTTGAACCCCTCGAAAATATTGAGAAAAAAATCAATTCGTAGTCTAATTCGACGATTCTAATTTCGTGTTTTCCGCGCTGCGGAAAATCTCTTTTCTCGGCGGAAAAATCGTGAAATTTTAATGTATTACGTTATGAATGTCTTCTTCTTAATTTGTACCATCTACGAAATCCAAAAATATAATTTGTACCCCTGTAGAATTTGAATTATACAGCGTTTTTCATAGAAACACAGTAAAATGCAAAAAATTAATAAAATTTGTGATCCTGGCAAAAAAATGGTGAATTTTCTTAAAAAATTTTAAGTAAATAGCTTTATGTCTATTTGGACTATTCAAAATTATCTAAATTTTCTTTTCTGTACCCCTCCAAATTTCAAATCCAAAATTATATTGAAGTTATAAGAGCTGCATTAATACCTATTAATACAGCTGTATTAATTAATAGGAATGGGTTATTTCAGAAAATAACCCATTCCTATTAATAAATAAAATTGCGCAGAGTTATAAATAACTTTTGCTATTTTTGTTAACCACGCGCAGTTTTTCTGTAATTCCTTTATTACGGTTGTATTAATTAATAGAAATGGGTTACTTCAGAAAATAACCCATTCCTATTAATGAGAGCAGCATTAATAGGAATGGGTTATTTTCTGAAATAACCCATTCTTTGATAAAAATGGGTTATTTTCCAAAATAACCCATTCCTATTAATACAGCTCATATAACTTCAATATAATTTTGGATTTAGAAATTGGGGGGGGGGGGGGGGGTACAGAAAAGAAAACTTAGATAATTTTGAATAGTCAAAATAGACATAAAGCTATTTACTTAAAATTTTTTAAGAAAATTCACCATTTTTCTGCCAGGATCACAAATTTTATTAATTTTTTGCATTTTACTGTGTTTCTATGAAAAACGCTGTATAATTTAAATTCTACAGGGGTACAAATTATATTTTTGGATTTCGTAGATGGTACAAATTAAGAAGAAGACATTCATAACGTAATACATTAAAATTTCACGATTTTTCCGCCGAGAAAAGAGATTTTCCGCAGCGCGGAAAACACGAAATTAGAATCGTCGAATTAGACTACGAATTGATTTTTTTCTCAATATTTTCGAGGGGTTCAAATACCAAAATAACTATTTTTTTAAATGGTACTGATTGAGGCAAGGCTGGTGGTGTATTTTGTTGTCGGAAATAAATATTTTTCCTATCAGAGTTTCCTACTTTATCATCCGAGTAATCAGCTGTTTTTGGATGTAGGAGTTTAAGAACACACATTAACTTAGGACTTTGTATATTAACATGTCTAATTAAATTTTAGAGTGTAAAAATTACAATAAAACTATTTTCAGTGGGTAAAATTTAAGGTAAAGCTAGAAATATATTTTTTTCTTAAGAAATAAAAGATTTTCCTGTAAAATTTATCAGTATTACAGTCGCACAAAAAACATTGTATTATTCAAATTCTACAAGGATACAAATTAGTTTTATGTATTTTTTAGATGGTACAAATTAAGAAGAAGGCATTCATATATATTTTTTTTTTAAATCGCATATTTTTCTGCTGGAAGATAGATTTTCCGCCGCGCATGCGCAGTAATACGTTAATTTGAATTGCTAATCTACCCTACGAAAATCTTTTTTTTCTCTATTTTTAGAGAGGGTACAAATTCTAAAAAAGCATTTTTCTGATGGTACAAATTAAAATGAAACTAGTGGTATTTTTTTCTTTTATGATATCAATCATTTTTCTGCCAGGAGTATGAGTTTTCCGCAATATCGTTTTTTTCGCTTTTTTTCAAAATTTTGGGGGGGTACAAATTCCAAAAAATGAATTTTCGGGTGGTACAAATTAAGACAAAGGTAATGGTATATAATTTTTTTTTTAAATCAATCATTTTTCTGCCAGGGTCGTTTCGATGCGAAAATGTGGCCAAAACGGCCTATAGTCAGATTTCATATTATTTTTAAAGTTGTTAGATGCTTCTATAAACACCCTTTATATGTACCTACAAATAATGGAATCGGTTAAATCTAACTTCATCTAAAAAATATTCAAATCTAGGAACTTCTTAGGAATTGTCTACATAAGAGCCATCGAATATTGGACACCAGACATGTACGAAGGTGTAAAAATTAATTAATTATTTGACCTTAATTTGTAAAATAAAAATAAATGTTGCACATGATTTTTTCAGACCACGTACAAATCTTCTTTGGTAAAATAATGATAAACAATTTGTTTCTTACCTCAGCGTTCGTCCAACACCCGATGTCCAATAGCTCTTATGTAGAAAGTTCCTTAACTTAGTCCTTAACATTATAATCTTTTATGTTATTATTTTATTAATATATTTTACAAAAATATTTCAATGTAAATAAAATGACTATAATATTTTTGATCCTGTTTATTATTTTTATGGAGATATGATACACCCACGCACATTTTATTTTCAAAATTAATTTTGAATACCATTAGTGCTATATATAGTGGACATCTTTTTCTATTTGACATGAACCAGTGAAGAAATGTTATGAGTGCACAAAGTTGAAAATATTTATGAAAATGGTTTTGTTAAAATTATGAAACTATTGTTACATTTTATATTTCCAAATGATATAGTCTTAGTCCACGATAATTTTTCTTTCATATTAAAATTTATAAGTATAATTTCAGAACAATCTGATAAAATATTTAATTTGAAAGCCAAATAGCTTAGTTTGATTTTCAATTACTGATATTTATGATTTTAATATATTTGATGTGATTAGTTTATGAGAAAAAGTGGTATGAAGAGTTACATATTTTTACATACTTTGTTATTTTTTTGTTTTTTTTTTTACACAGGTGATTGTTATAACTTTTAGTGTAAACAATGGTAATAAATTTTTGTGTATATAGAAACTGAAAAGCAACAATTTCTTGTCAGCCTACATGAATGACATTCTTATTGTATGAACATACAATTACATTGATTTGCTCGTGACACAATTTATAAATTCTATTATTTTTCTCTTACATGTACGTGCACGCATGTATATATTCATACAAATTTTTATCTAATAAATATAAGTAATGTATGAATGGTTGAGGGATAATGCAATACTCTTATGAATCAGTTGTTACACAGCAGATATCAGAAAACTTGTTGATTGAACCATCAATTAAATACATCTGATTGTACACCAGTACATATTTTAGAATTGTAAGAAAGAGTGAATAATAGATTGTATAAATAAATATATACTTAAATATACTTTATAAAAAAAGGATGGAATCATTTATTTTTTTCTTTTTTCAATTTTGACTTTTTCTACATAATCATTTTATCAAATGGAATTCCATAACAAAATCTCAAAAACAAAAAAAAAATTAAATCGTTTGTCGGCTTGCTCTAAAATAAACTTTTTTTTAAGTTTTTTCCTTTTTTGAAGGTAAACAATGGTTCGATGCACACACTTTGTAACTAGTTTAACTAGCAATAGATTATATTAAAACAGTGCCAGTGCCAAACCCAACCTTATGCAGACAAGTATATATACCTAGCATAATAAACAAGAACACAACAAACTTGGCATACACAAATACATCGTCAACATGTAAAGTGGTATGTCATTGAATCATTCTATTCTCTCAACATGCCAGCACAAATCTACCCTCTTTCTCTTTGAATTAGCCTTTTAATATCTATCATCTGTAGAACAGTCTTGAGAAGCAGTTTTTATCTTGATGGTTTGTCCATCTCCAAGCTTGATTAATAAATGTGCCTTTTTCAATAGAGAAACCAAGTTTTGATAGATACATATTTCTTTCTCCATTCACTAATGATACACATATATAAATCTTGCACAAACGAATCAAAATTCAAGGATTTGGCTACTGGGATTTATTATTGATAAGTCTTCACAAGGTCATGAATAAACCAAGAAAGAGAAACATCTATGGTAAATGAGCATGAAAGTGAGTTGTCAGTGTGTGTGGCTTAATGTTGAAAGAAGTTTCTCAAAAAGCATAGAACAGAGAATGAGCACAGAAAATTTTTTTTGAATGGGAATAGATAGAGAAAGAGAGAGAGAGTGAGAGAGAGAGAGAAAGAGAGAGAGAGAGAGAGAAAGAAAGAGAGAGAGAATCATAAGGTGACTCCAGCTTATCCACTCTTGAACAGAAGAATTGCCACTTGGCCCAGGTAGAAGTAGATAAAGTGTCGCGTCTCGTGCGTGACGTAGCTACCGAAGTTCCTGCCGACGATGCAATGCCATGTCGGGTTGTACTTTTTGTCGAACTCCTTCTTTATAAAGGCTGCAATGTCCTGCAAGCGAAACAGCCACGAGGTTTTTACCATTTAGAAGTTGCTCAACTCAATAATGTATCACGTAAGTGCAGCTTCTCTCTTACCTTCTCGATGTTGTACTTCTCGAGTGCCTGGGTCGCGCAATCAACGGCGTCCTGCTGCATCTCCTCCGACATATCGGCATTCTTGATAACAGCCTTGCGGTCCGACATCTTGCTTGTTCTGCAACAATATCACAAAGCATATAATTAAAAAAAAGGGTCAATAAAAATTTCTTTTCTCTGCCGCGTGCTCTTTGTGTGCTTGTGTACGGCTCGTCAAGGATATATAATCAACCTGCTGATATGCTGCTGCTCGCGCGCAATTCTTACAGTAGCAGTGAGCAGCAGCGCGGCCGGCATGAATATCAAGACTGAATCTCACGAGATGTTTTGTCGATAATCGCGTGATGAAAAGTGGGTCATTGGTTGCTTACCTGGAGTAGTTGTATGTGAGTGTGTGGTGAAGGATTTTCGGACACTTGAAAATTTGAAGCTCGACCGGCTATGCCTGCAAGTCGAGTCAGTCAAAAGTCACTTCTCACACGCTCACTCTCTGCTGCTGCTTGCCGCCAACGATCTACTGCTCCGTACACCAGCACTAGGCAGAGCGGTTAGGCAGAGAGGGAAATTATACGTGCTGCCAGTTCACTGATTGGTCGGTGAGCAGGGTCTTCTATCAGGGTCTTCTAACAACCCGGCATGCATTGCCATTGGCAACCGCGCGTAATTTGGAATATTTGATGTATGGATATACGAGTGGGCGATCAAGAGCTTAGTTTTATCTCTCCACGTTTTGTCGAATTTGTTTTGTCAATTCTTCTGACATTGAATTTGCTTCCACGAGATACATTGATTATACTTCAAATTTATTTATTTCCATCTAAACTACAAATAGGTGAGAGCAAAATAGACTTTTTCGATTTTTCCTCTTTCACATTTATTGTTGAATTGTTATTTAATTTTTGTTACAATTACAAATCGAAATTAATCTTGTTTCGCTATTTCAGTTTAGCTATTAATTCTATTTTTACACACCTCGTTCGAAAACTTCGTTACTTCTAAATGTATAGTCACGTAATTCGATAAATTGTATTTCATCCTACGTCCGATTCAATTAACTTTCGAAACTATCTTAAGCACGTTTAAGAAAATAGAAGGTTCAGCATGGCAATAGAGTTACTGAATAAAGATGAAGGCCGAATAGTTTTTCAATTGCATCATTTAATCAAATATGTTTTGTGTGTAACTCGTAATGACATCAGGAATTGAGTCGGTAAACATTAAAAAAAATCCAAAAACTCTAGGGAATTTCCGTAAATTCGTATTATATCTACTTGAAAACAAAATTGACAAAGTACATACATAATTCGTACAACAATTATTTTACGTTCAGTGTGCCATAGAATATACGCAGTATATTTTTGTGATTATCTAGAAGGAGTTTATCTAATTTTTGTAAAAGTAATCGATCAATCTGCAGGTATAACTGAATGCTATACTTTCCAGAAAAGAAACTGAAGTGAATAGATATAACAGTGCGTGAAAGAATAAACATGGAATACGTAGGAATAGTATATTGAAATGTCCAGGCGATTTATATGGCGTATAAATTTATTTATTATCATTTATCTGTATAATATATTTAAAACAATATTTTTTCTACAACATTGCATAAAAATATACAAAGACATGAAAAAATGTCTCGACTCTCGTTCCTCTGAAAGTGTCATTGTTTTCGTGGGTATGTATGTAATTATTGTATGTGAATTCACAACTGTGTATGTGTATGTCATATGTCTGAGTGTGTGTCAGTTTGAACAACATATGTAGATATCATACTTCTTGATCTTCGTTATTAATATTCTTATTAACCGTGTACTACAATATTTAAATATCAGCACAAATCGTGAACGAGCTTATCCTTGTTCCCGTCGCACATTTTTTTAAATATTTTGTCTATATATTTTCATCATCTTCATTATATAATAATTATAAACGATGTAAGGTAAATTTTTGTACAAACAATGTTTATCTATGTTAAATTAGACGGCCTTCACTCACATTTTGCACGCAGTCTGTCGTTTTTTACGTTTATTAAATGGTCGATTATGTGTTTTTGAAATTTCGTTTCATTGAACCATTCAGACTGCACATAAAAAATCATATATAAAAAACATTTAGGGCTCCAAGAAAGCAATTGATTTCTTTGAATGTAGATTGGTCCTTGATTTTAGATGCGATCATTCTGTATTTTGTTCCAATAGAAACGTATAAAAGAAAAAAAGCGAATAAGATGGTTACAGCGTGCTTTTGCTGACGAAAAACTATAATACGAGCTGCATTATAAAAATCAACTTTCTCAAGTTAACTGCGCTTCTATCGTTTTTACATTGGGAGGCGATTCACCTATTTACTTCGTGCACACACTTTAATTTTTGCTACTACGACTGTGTATTTTATTTAATTTTTAAAAAATTTTTTTACTAGTATGGTTTCTAATTATGGGCTATTGTAATGACGAAAACAAGAATATTTCATATCGTTTTCATCACTGCAATACAGGCATTACATTCTGTAACAGATCACGTATTATTAACAGATCAAAGCTAACGAAAAGTTAGATAGGATTGCAATAATCTAACAAGACATTATGACAAAGTGTGGTGTAATTTTGTCATTATGTCGTTATTCTTTTTTTATCATACTTTAACAATCAACATTACCAAATTTTCTCAATACTTTGTGAAAACAGTAAACAATTGTGCATAAAGAAAACATTTTGATTTTTCTTACGAATTTTACTTTTTACAAGTTTATTATTATTTTGATAGGCAATTTGTTGGTGATTGTAAATTTTTATCATAATTTTTCTTACCTACTGTTAAACAAAATTTTTAATTTGGCAAATTAAGATTTTCCGTTTACGTTTTTGATTCACATCCTTGTGATTTCATTTTAATATTTTGAGTATATTTTCAAAAATTTTTATAACAATAATTCATTAATTTTTTACACTTTATAATTGATATTTTCTTTTTTAATGCTGTTTATTAGCAAAAACTTTGATTGCCATTCGTAAAATTATGACATAAGCTACTAAAATTATTGCTTCGTATATACGAGCCTCCTAATGACACTATAATATACATATAAAATTCAGAATTGCTATACACAACGTTATGAAAAAGAATTTTACTGTATGCAAACAAAAATCCTTAAACCTTTATGTACAGGTTTACTTTTATTTATTTTTGAAATGCAAAAAATTTTACGTCGCTTTTTTTTCTGAGAGTTAACTCTGTTTTTTACCCATTGGTCCCAATCGTTAATTATTAAATAAAACTTAATAACAGAAAAACATTTTTTGTATCTAATTCCCATCAATACGATTAGTATTAAAAAATGTCTACTACTTATACACTGCATTTCACTAAGGCCTTGATATTATTTTAGTATATATCAAGTATTTAGGAATGAGCGTGTGTAATTGTTATCAACTTCTTTTTCGCGACTTTGATGTATGTTTATGAAATTTATTATGGCCTCGAAAAAACATGAATATTAATTCGATCCTATTTTTATCTATGAAATATTTTTTGCATCGTTAATATTTTTTTTCTTGCATGAGTTCAATGCAACCGTCCTTTTATACAATGGAATGTACGCTTACATGGAAGATGAATAGAATGCAAAAATTTCTTATAAGTTATGATAGATATTGCATTACTTTCGTAAAAGAAACTATAAAAATGGTAAAAAATGGTAAAAGTTATCTGTCATTGTTCTATTGCAATCGATAAAAACAATCAAAAAGAAAATCTGGAAACTTTTTGTGCGACTTGATATACAACGCAAACGAAAAAAAAAATAATAATAATAATAATCGGAGTAATCAAAGCCTAGCATGCGTACGTCTTCGTTTGCTAAAAAGTGAATAAAAATCACACACGCAAAAAGACGATCCGCGGCTTCCAGCTCCATACTTTCTCTAATCTCTTGTGTAATGCATATTTTGCTCGCAGGGTGATTTCCAATCAAACCCGATAAAAACGGATCTCTCTCGTTCTCTTTCTCGCTTACACTTACAAAAAAAAAAAAAAAACTGATTGGCTCTCGAAGAAAAAGACAACATTTCTTACTTGCACTATACTTACATTATATACAAGACAATAGTCGCGGCACTGATTATGCCGCATTCAATCACTCTCAATCAATCAACCAATCGTCTAATTGACGTAAACGTCCAGTTTTTTGTTTTGTTTTAAATACACTAGCCGCTAGCTTAATAAACATCCTCGAAGTTGCAACGCGAGTGCTCGTCAAAGTTTGTTGCCCCCCAAAGGCTTTTCGTCGACTGGAGCACTCGAGTATATTCAAGTCTTCCCATTTTTTTATGTTGAGAAACGATCCGCGAGGAACAAAAACGTCGCGGCTCGTTTCTCTATTTGGTTCTCGACAAGAACATACTTTAGAGCATTGAATCAAGATTAAAGTTCGATTCTAAGGAGTTCAATAGATCCTGGCATTGAAGCTTTGCGCGTCGCCTGCTGGCAGATTATCCAAACAGAGATCAAAGTTAAAGTCGTTTGCATTCATATTTTTCGTTAGGTTGCTGCGGTTGCTGCTGCTGCGGGGGCGGTGGCAGTTGAGGTTGCAATACATTACGCGCACCGGGACTACCTGCGCCAAATTGCTGGTGTGGGTGCAGTGGCGAACCTAGAAATAAAGATTAGACTTTTAAATTAGGCTACGTGTATGACGTTGCTCTTCGGATGTTTTAGGAAACATCGACATTTGAATTTACTTTTGAAACTATCCTCGATTTTTTTCTAAATGCATGTTGGATAGATATTGTAACTTATGTAATAGCTTGGCTATGGTAGAAGAAGAGAAATGTAAAAGAAAGATATTGAATCGTATAACGTAATTATAACTCGATTTTATGCATTGTATCGTGGTCCTTGTGTCAATCTTGGAAAACTTCAATAATTCGAGAATCACTGAACCTACCAGTACTATTGCCCGACGGCACAACGTTGCTCACAGACTGGGCTTGCGATATTTGCATTTGCATGCCTATCTGATTGTTGGTCTGCTGTTGATGTTGCTGCTGCGAGGCGACCATTTGCTGTTGCATCGCTGAGTTGGTCATACTACCGGCGCTCATCACATTACCACCTTGGGTACGCATCATCTGTTGATGCTGCATTTGCGCCGTGTTCATCTGCATAGCGCCTCCACCACCCATGCTGAAATTAGCTGGAAGTTAAAAAATAACTTGTTATTTAAGTGGTCGGTTCGTAATTTATTGAATTGTTGACAAAAATAAAACGATGTGTATTTTGAACCAAGTTTTTTAGTCAGGTCTCAAAGCATGTAGTAATAAACAAGATGACAAACGAGAAAACATATAAGTTATATTTGTAGGAGGGATGAAGGAAAGCGAAAGGGAAAGCGTGAGAGAAAATAAGGAGAGCCTCGCGGCTTAAAAGAGAGAACAGGCCAGACAGGGCCTTTAGCGTTAATCTTAAGGGTGACTGACTGTATGACGGACGCAGTTGCGCCTTGCTATCTTACGGCGTTCGTTTGGA